ACAAACACAATTATGCCTTTGGAAACTGCTGTAACACAACAAATCACATAAAATCTACACAGGCAAATGAAAAAAAGGGGAGGATATTTAACAATTGATATTTGGACACTTGTTCTCCAATGCTTACTTGAAGTTGTTCTCTGTCACATATTAAAGAAAACTAACTAAAACTGGGTCTCCAACATAAATGTAGATCTGAAAAACTGGTGACTCACCAGGCAAATCAAACTGCCAATGCTTATGGATACTTTAAAAAAACCCCACCAAATATCAGTAAGAACTAATTTTTAAATCTGTTTTCTACAAGATGTCACATTACTTAAGTAAAATATTGTTTAAATAAAAACTTGACATAGTCATAATTTGCTGAAGCCTACTTCAACCAGGATGTGAAAAACCATCCAAAAATCATATTGTATGCATACAAAAAGTTTTTCCTTGCGCTTCTCAAACAGGATCTCTCTATACTTCAGGACAAACCCCATCTGAAAATACTTTCAAAAGCAGCTTGCAAAGGGGACCTGATCTTTAAAAAATATCCCACATAGCACATCTAATTCCTAACAGGATCTTGTCTTGCTCTATTAATGTGAGATGTGATCAAGTTAGATTTATTAAAGTTTCTAGTTCTCTTCCATATTTGTTAAATTTTCTGATATTTCTTTTCAGTACCTGAAAGATTATCTGTCTAATATATTTTCATTATCCCTCAACATTTTTCAGCTTTGTAAATGAAAAAAAGACAAAAATATCAGCTGACAGCAGTCTCTTCTTTTACAGACAATGTAGTCTTCTAGAAGCTGTTTCACAAAGATTAAACATTAAAAAGGAACAAGTACTTTCAGCTCCTCAACTGAAAAACATTCAAAGACAAAACTCACCGTCTTACTACGTTAGCTACCAAAACCACACAAGATGTATGGCTGAATTGATGGAAACATCACATGGCCCTTTTGAAAGGGATTACAGTAATACTAAAACCATTCATTTTAGAAGAGACACCAACTTATTAAGTATAAATTTAACTTCACCGCATTTTAAACTAGCATTCTGCCTATCTCTAAGTAAACAAGAACTTGTCTTTGTGAGAATCAGTTTCTCCTTCAGAGCAAAGTGATTAGTCACAGTTCTGCATATTCTGTAATTAAGCACATATGCAAGGAAGCATCAAATTATGGTACTGGCCTCTCAGTTCAGAACCCTGAAAATTCAGCTTACCTGGGAAGATTTCTAAGGCTTAGAACATTATTTTAATGTTTTTATAAATGTAGAGCAGTTCTATAGACAAATCAGCTGTTAAATGGCTGAACTCTTTCACCCTGATTAGCTCATGGTCTATCACACTAATAAGCAAAAATAAAACAAACTGTGCATGCTACAAACATAAGACACAACTCATATAAACAACAGAACTCGTGCAGCTGGACTTAATGAGGGGCCGGCCTCTGTGGCTGTCCCGTCCACTCATGAATCCGGTGGCGGCGGAAGAAGCCTCGGTCAGCCTTCCAATTGCTCCTGGAGCTCTGCTCTCTTCCTGCTTGCCCGGCCACTCCAGGCAGTGGGAGGGAGGACGAGTCTCCCTGCACTGCTGCTGAGTGGTCAGGCGAGCAGGAAGAGAGTGGCCTCCGATTGGAAGGCAGACTGAGGCTGCCACCCCTGGCAGACACGTGAGTGAATGGGTTGGCCACAGGGGCCAACCCCTCGCTAAGTCCAGCTGCATGAGCATATTTGTATTTGTATACGAATACGAATATCCCCATTTCTACAAAGGATTACCAATTGTAGCATGTCCTGACTCCAGCAAACCAGCAACTCACTCCACTAATCTTGATAAAAAAGGAAAAAGATGAAGTGCAAAGTAATTTGTAATACAATAGGGTCCCCATATCTGCGGGATCAATATCTGCTGATTCACTTATCCACAATCTGAAAATATTAAAAGTATTAAAAGTCTTAGAAATACATACAGTACAGTACTTCTAAAGGTCAAGTTACCAGAACTAGCTACTAGAGGGAGCCAGAGACCATGGTATGTATAGCATTCGCTAGTAAAAGAACATTCACTATAATCTACATTTTTCAGCATTGAAACTTGGAACTGATCCCTTGCAGATACAGGGGTCCTAACTGTACTGAAAAGACAGAGAGAATTCATAGTAGAAGGAACATGCAATGTAACCCACTTAATAGGAAAACAATGACTGAAACACGGTAAAGGTCTTAAACAAATGAAATTAATATTACCTAGAATTTTAGACTTCAGCATGTAGAAGAAAAGATATGTTAAACTGACAGTGTACTGTTACTCTTGTACATTTCTATCAAGAAAATCCGATGGAGAACAGGTCAGGTTACAGACTAATATGTTTATTTGAATTACCGAGAAACTAATGATCAATTTTAAAAAAATAGCACTGAAAAACTTCCAGGAAAAATGAGTGGGCATTTATGCATGAACGCTAAACCTAAAATCTGACAGAATTCATAAACCAAGTTTCCATTATTTGTTGTAAAGAAACTGTAAATGATCTATGATGATTTCATAGTTTTTTAACAGCATGATTGGTTGTTCAATGATACAGTTTTTCTAAGGGTTATATCTGAGAGATTTTCAGAAGGGGTAACTTCTAAAGTATAATGTGTACAGAATTTAGGTATGAAAGGAAGTCTTGAAAAAATAATTTGAGAAGAAAAAATCTTTTGACAGTAAAGTTCAAGAAATGAGGGTGAGAATTTTCCACATATGCTGTTTTTCTTTGGAGAGAAAGCTAAATTCACCTCTTGTATTTTGAAACTCTCCAATTATTTTCAAGCTATCAGCTCAGACTAAATGATCTATCTCCCAACTTTTACAATAATTTTCAAGTATGTAATGCATTTAATGCTACAGCAGCAACAGCTAAAACCCAGGGTCACCCATGCCATTTAGATATTTATATGGGCGATACGAAAACGGTGGCAACACAGAAATACACACTGTACATTTAAAATTCCAACGTAGTGGGAAATGAGGTATCTTTTCATATGTCGAACAGCCTGCTCTACAGCATACTACTTGCAGCTGAGAGAGAAGAGCAGACAAGAGGGCCAGCGAAGGGACGAGAAAAACCAATGACTACTCTATCTCCTGCTGCCATGGGAAATATACAGTTATAGCATTCCAAACTGTCACAAAGTTAAAAGACAAAAGTTCTAAAAATATTTAAATATGAAATGAAAAGAATAATGCCAGTGTAACAAATCCTGTAGTATATTTGGTTTATAAAAGCAAATATTTCAATCATTCTCAAGGAGGAGCATTATAGTGCCCATTTTGTTTGAAGCATTTTCTTCATAGTGCATGGTATGTACTACGAGAAAAAAATCTTCTATTGCCTGGACACAATTTTCTTGAGGAATAATGATACTGGTGAGAATGATACAGTATGATTTGTACCTCAACATGGAGGGGATGTCTGCCCATGAATGGTGGATCGCCAACAAGCATGTGAACGTACAACAAAGCAAACATATCAATTCCATCCGGCTGGCTCAGTGAGATTGTGGTAAATTGCATCTAAACTCACAGTCAAGGATACTCTTTTCAGATCTGCCACTTCTCCACTTACAACTGAAGAATGGATGGAAAAATCTATATCACACTGTTATTCCTGAACTACCCCACAGGAGACAGTAAAAGGTAGAGACTGAAGAAAACTAATTATAAGTGACTAGACTGTGCCTTTAGAAATGGATTTTGCTCCCCTCCTTCCTTGTTGGTCACCTTCTGCTGCATGGATGCAAGCAGGAGGGACTGACCCCTTCAATGCACACCATGTTAAATTTGTACTAAACTCAACATTACCCTTACTGAGGTACAAGCCTGTTAGCAGCTGCACATGGGACAAAAACGCACCTGGAAAACCACAGTAGAAAAACAAACTGGATCTTTCTTGAAATCTAAACAGCACAACAGATTGTCCGTGCTCTGTGAAAAAATACTGCTAATATTCACTGTGTTCATTTATTAATCTTAACTGACAAAGCTATATATGGCATTATAAACATTCAGAGTTACTGCATCACTACAAATGGGAATACTTCTGCTTCTCTCTTGTCCCAGTTTCGAATGGGGGGGGATTCCTCCCTCTTTTTGTCACCCATCTGCATAGAGACAAGGGCAGTTTTCATATGTGGCTATACACATTTGTCTTCTAGTGGGTGTACATATGGAGATACAACTAATCCCAGTTCCCCTAGAACACCTGTTCCCATTCGACATGTTCACGATGGTTCTGACACATGAGTTGTTTAATGCATTACCTGTTAAAATTATATAAGCTACACACCAAAATGCACTTTACTTTATATCTTTTTGCCTGTGCTTGTTCCTTTATTCCATCATTGGATCATTTTAGAGCTCTGGTTCTATGGATAAGGATTAAGAGAGATGTGCAGCATTAAGAGGGCAATCCGGTAATAAAAAACAACAGGGTTTCACTTGCACCAGATGGTGAGGGGACTCTTCTACACTGGCACAAAGTGAAGCAGAGCAAACTCAACTGAGCCAAATTAATAGCTGTCTTGTGCCAGTTACCACAGTAAGGCTGTAATCTTAGGTAGCACTTTAAACTAAACATGCATAAGATCAGGCTGTAAGACGGAGACAATAGTAGACATTTTGATATCTTTGGCCAGAAAGCTGCCAGCATTTCATCTTATATTCTGTAGTTCATGGTTATCTATATCTTCTATTGTGAACTGATGGTTTAGGCCTAAAAGGTTAGGCGAAAAGCATGTGTATAGTGCAGACGATACACTTATAAGCCCTACTCAGGTACAGTAGTACCTCGGTTTACGAATGCCTCGGTTAATGTAATTTTCAGTTTACGAATGGAAATCTATTGAAAATAATGCCTTGGTTTACGATTTTTTTCCCCGCAGTACGAAGCAAGTTTCCCCAGGATGCATTGTGCCTGGAGGTTTATAGTGCTGTCCTGTTCCTATTTATTCTTATTTAGTTTATTTATTTGATTTTTACCCCGCCCCTCTAGACCATGTCTACTCGGGGCGGCTTACAAAATGGCAAATCGCGTTCTGATTTACAAATTTTTCACATTACATAACGTCCTGGGGAACGCATTAAATTGGTAAACCGAGGTACGCCTGTATTCAGAAGGGAATGCATGAAGAGGGGGAGTTGGTTTCCTCATGCCCAGCTAAGAGAGTGACAGTCCAATTCTTCAGGCTTCCAAGCCTGTGGACAACCTCCACTGTCTCAGATACAGACTGTCACTCTCCACTCATGGAGAAGGAGTGCCTCCTTTCCTCCTTGTGCCTTCAGATGAACACTTACCTTCATGCAAAAAGAGGGCCTCCTTGTACTGAACAGTTTTGCTCAAGCCAACAGCTCATAAAGCAACTGAACTTCATCTCCAAATATAGTACTGGAGAAGACTGCCCCTTTCCTCACATCTCCTTACTACTCTGAAGAGAAAGCAGGATAAAAAGATGTGTCCCCTTGCTTTAGAGCTGTGGCCAGGTCACTACACGAATGCTAACAGCTCATCTTAATGAATATCTATGAAGGGAAATCCGTCCCCATACTTTGAACGTAAGATTTCTTCCTACTTCCTGGAAACACAGAGGTTTCAGCCACGAAATTGATACATGTGGAATGTGTTCAACTATCTGCCTACTGAAAAGGTTTTCAAGAACAAAAGTTTCACCAGGCAAAAGCACAAATGCTTTAACACAGGATTGCTGTGTGCATATGATTGTCCCATGAGGAGCTGCAACCATATTTACCTTCCAAAGAAATGGTGATATTGGTTTTTTTTTTTAAAAAAAGCCCACCGCTTTGTTTTCTTAGGTCTTCTTTAAAGTTGGCTCACCATTTACTCACATGAAAATATAGATCTAGCTTAACTGAACCCACATCCTTGCCCTGACTGCCGTCTAATAATCCAGTTGCTTCAAGCTGAATTACTGGCAGGTGCAGCATTTTCTAGGGTGAACTAGGGAATGGTCTGTTAAAAGAAGTAACAGGCCATTCTTTTGTAACAGTTTGAAGTTTCCTCTCCCAGTACATTTTCTTTTTGTTGAGCACCTCCATCTTGATCCTGTGCTCTTCTTCAGCCATCTCACATTCCCTTTCTATCTGCTGAATTTTTGCCACATGTACTTCATTCATCTGGATCAGCTGCAATTGCAAGATAGACATTTGCTGATGATGTTCTTCTTCATGCATCTTTTTTAGATCACCCTCTTGAGCAGCCTTATTTCGGAAGTTTTTATTACCAGTTATTCTGACTGTGGAACAGGAGGGCTCAGATTGTGACGTGCCTTCACATACTTGGAAATGCACAAGTTCTTTGTCTTCATCACACAGTTCTCTATTTATAACAGTAAAAGGCTCTGGAAAAGATAGAAGAATATAATCAATAATTACACAAAAGTGATTTTTACATTCCCCCCCTCCCCCAATTCAAGAAGCAGTGTTGTCTAGCACAGAGTCTCTGGATTCCCATTTACTCTCACTTGTGAAGCTAACTGTGTAACTTTAGGCAACTCATTACATCTCAGTCGTTGTACAGAGCTGCTTTGTTGTGGAGACAAACTGGCATAGCCCCACTGGCATTGACTTGATGACCTGGCAGGGAGGGTGAGATGTCAACTTGCTTGAAAAACACAGTACAGTGGTGCCTCGCATAGCGAGGTTAATCCGTTCCGGATTAACCTTCGCTATAGCGAAACATCGCTGTGCGAAAATAAAAAAGCTATAGAAACGCATTGAACTTCGTTCAATGCGTCCCTATGGCTTGAAAACTCACCGCTGTGCGAGGTTCTTCCATAGCGCCGCCATTTTTGCGCCCTCGGTAAGCGAGGGCAGGGCGTGAAAATGCGGCGAGGACCTTCCGGCGGCCATTTTGGAACCGCCGATCAGCTGTTCTCCCCCGCTTCGTTATGCGATATTCGCTAAGCGAATCGCTTAGCGAAGATCGCAAAGCGAATCACTTAGCGAATATCGCAAAGCGAAAAATCGCCATAGGGGCCATCGCTGAGCGAATGCTCCAGCGATGGCCCAGAGCGCCTCGTTAAGCGATTTCATCGCTCAGCGAGGCGCTCGTTAAGCGAGGCACCACTGTACTGCAATGAAGCTTATGCCATGTGCCACTGAAACAGCTTAAGGATGCCACAAGAGGGCACTATTGTCCGCACTGTGATAGCAGGAACCTGCAGGCACTATTAATCAGAGGCTGGAAACAGCACAGTTTCCCCCCTCTCCTCCAGAGCTGCAGGGAGCCAGGAAAAGAGATTGCTGCTTGAGGTGGAGGCATCTTATTTCTAGCACGCAGCCTTCGCATGGTTTCAAAAAACTACAAAATCTGTTTGGCCAGAAACAATGGTGGAACAATGTGTTCTACGATAGGAAATGCACTTTCAACCCTCTTCACAATACTGTACAGTGGTACCTCGCTAGATGACAACCTTGTAAAACGGCGAATCTGCATGACAATGTTTTGCCATCGCTATAGCGATTCTCAAAACTCAGGCTTCACATGATTTCAAAAACCTGCAAAATCTGTTTGGCTAGAAACAATGGTGGAACAATGTATTCTATGATAGGAAATGCACTTTCAATCCTCTTCACAATACAGTGGTACCTCGCTAGATGACCTTGCAAAACGACGAATCTGCATGACAATGAGGTTTTGCGATCGCTATAGCTATTCTCAAAACAGTTATTCCAATGGGCGATTTTCGCTGATGATTTGGTCCGTGCTTCGCGGACCAGTTTTTCGCAAGACAACGATTTTTACAGCTGATCGATGCTTCGCAAAATGGCTGCCCTATGGGCGATCTTCGCAAAATGACGATTTTTCCTCATTGGAATGCATTAAACGGATTCCAATGCATCGTCATGCAGAGCACCACTGTATATCATCTGCCTACACTTCTAGGCGCGGGGCACAACTGTATATCATCTGCCTACACTTCTAGGACTTTTGTTTGAGGGCAGACAGTCATTAAGAAGTGACAGCTTTTGGATGACTAGCACTGTGCTGAACTCTGGAGGCACTCTGAGCACCTATAAAACAAAACAGGATATTAGAAATGACCTTCCATGTGCCTTAAGTACAAGCTCAGGTAGATAGCTGGAAGGTTTGTGTCTTGGATTAAGGATCTGCCATTCATTTTTTCTTTTGACTCCAACTCCCAGAATTCCCCAGGAATTCCCCAGGCAGAATTCTGGGAGTTCCAGACCAAAGACCCACACCTACATTTTTGTCACCTGCACCAGCCTTTGAGACTGCATGGTTGTCTCAGGCCTACACTTCCTATTGCTCATGGACACAAAAGGAATCTGCCGTAGTTCTTTCTGGGAGTTGCAGTACTGCTGTCCTTTAGGTTCTCAAGAAGACCTCTCCCAAAGAACTACAACTCCCAGAAAGCACTGCAGCATCCTGCTTTTTTGTAAACGAACAACAAGAAGTACAGGTCTAAGATAGCAATGTGGCCTCATAGAAAGGCCCTGGTTCAGGTGAGCAAAGTGTAGGTGTGGGTCAATGGGCTGGAATTCTCAGAATTGTATCTGGGAAATTATTCCTGGAATAATTATTCCCAGAAGAATCCAGGGACAAATAGCACATCCCTATTGTGGATTGATCTCCAGAGACCCTCCAAGCACCTCACTTCACTCCTCAACCCTAGGCTAGGGCAGGACTGGAACTCATTAAGGGGAAAGGTTTACTGGGCTGCCTTGAATTCTCAACTTTATCCGTCAGAACTATTTTCCACTGGCCTTGGAGTAGAAGCAGCTGGTTGTACAAAAATGGCCCATCCCTTTATCCAGGTTGAGTTCACAGAACTGCAGACTGTAATTCAGTGTAGAAAGAGCCCTTTCTACACAAGACAAGGAAAAAAAAAACTCTACAGAGCCCTTGAAGTTTGGCATCCACTCAGATATGCTCCTGCTTCCATGGCTTCTCACAGAGTATTTTAACCAAAACTTTTAAAATGCTAGTTAAAACATACCAGCCAAAATCCAATTGAAGGAAGAGCAATTATGCAGTGTTTCCCCCTGTCCTGCAGTGTTCCATTTGCATGCTGAGACTTGGACCCAATGTCATAACCAGCGAGAGACTGGATACACACAGAAAAGCCTGATGGAGCATAAAACACGCAACTGCCTTCTGCAAATATGTATGCAAATACGATTCTGGACAAATAGTTTAAGTGACACTGTTTCCAACCCAACATTGTTCAAATGCACAAAACAGCTGCAACTCCTATCACTATCTAATTCTCATTTATGGCATTTTGTATAACTTCCATGTAAGTTGAGACATATGTATTTTTTCTTTCCCTATTGTTTGCTTTCCATCTTGTTGAATTTGTCTATTATGTACTAATCCTTTTTATAGTTATCCATGTATTTTATGTTGTAAGCCGCCTAGAGTGGTCGTAATTGACCAGATAGACGGGATATAAATAAAATAAAATAAATAAATAAATAAAAAGGCATGGCCATAGCTCTTACATTGGTTCAGAAACAAACCAAATAATTATGAGCTGTACAAATGAGTTACTGTTCTACAAACTCAACAAGCACAAAAGTATTTGAGATCAGAATATAAGTTACAAAGAATCTTAGAAAAGAATATTTCCCCATTCTTCTTCAGCATTTTCTTTTTCTAATAAACTATCAAGTACAATGCTTATGCTACTACTAGGACATCTGTCAAGGAATGACTTCATGACTTAGCATCTAAAGGACAGTGATCTTACTAAATGAATGAATGAACATTTTGCTCTCGGCTTCTAGAATAGCAAGTTACAAGAGTAGCTCAGGATAGGTCCCTAAAATCCAACTGTACCTTGGCTAGAAGCTTCAGGCTGATATTCAGAATCTTCTTCTGGTGGACTCTGTAAAAAGTACACTTGCTCAGGTACCATGCTGGCGATCTTCTCTTTTCCTAGGATGTGATTACTTATAAGTGGGCTAAGACACCTTTTTACCTTGTCTCGTCTTTCATGTGCCATTATTTTCTTTGTCCGCGCCTTGATGTTCTCCCAGCATTTCTTCAGCTGCTTGAAGTCTCGGAGTGATACACTTGGTTGAGAATTGTATTCATGAGCAAGTGCCTGCCAGGTCCGTTGTTTTAGTGCAATAGTTCTTGCATCACTCTTTTTACACTCAAGTACATATTTGTATTTCTCAACTAGTGCAAGTAGTACACTCTTCTCCACTTCTGAAAAGTATTTGGCAGGCTTTATTACTTCACTGTTTTGCATTTTCTGTTATTCTACAGGGTGCTAAGATGACCTAAGAAAAGAACAGAAATGGCTTACTGTTACAAGTATGAATGTTATAGAATCGAGCATTCTGAGCCTATAGAAATGGCTTACTGTTACAAGTATGAATAATGTTATAGAATCGAGCATTCTGAGCCTAAGAGGTTACAATTTACATGCTTAATATCATAAAGATGGTACTGTAGGACCCCATATCTGTTGGAGACTAGATCCAAGCCCCTCTACAGATACTGAAAAATGCAGATACTGTAGTAGAGAACATATAGCAAACACATAGCAAATGCGTTTTTAAAGTTTAATTTATGAATTCCTTCCTTCCACTGAACTTTTTTTTCTATCAGAATCCCCCACTTCTACCATGCTAGTATGGATTCTGCCACAAATTCTCTGTGCTCTTTTGCTTAACACATTCTGAAAATTTGGCTTGGCACCACAGAATGGATCTGCCAGAGTTTAAACTGCTTTGGGTGATCCAGTTTCATTGACCACAGTTAAGTGAATCAGCAGATCCTGATCCTGGGGACAGAGGGTCCTACTGCATAATTTTCTATCACAACTGAAATAATCACTTACAATATAGGGCAAATAAAAAGACGTGCAATTTCAAATAATGCCCAGCAACCTATCACAAGATGGGACACTATTTTAAAAAGCAGTGAATGAAGAATAAGATCTACCTGTTCCTATTAGCCACCATGTGATTTGATTGGGACATTCATGTTTAGAGGCAGTATACCTCAGTGCTAAATGTGGGAGACACAATGGCACTATAAAATTTGAATAGTATTAGATAAAGGCAATTAGTACACAGTGATTGTTGGGTATGATGTCTCCCTGATAATTCATGTCGATGAAAAAGTCAGATGTTGTTCCACAGCATTAAATATTGCTTTTCTCCCAATCAAGCCAAATCCCAGTACTTTTCCAGGCAGTTACCAATCCTATGAAAAGGCATGCACAGAATTCTGCAACTCACTGAGCACCTCTACCATTCCTACTTTGTCAAATCAAATGAGCTATTAATTCCCCAAATTTATCATGTCTGAAGAGCAAAAGAAAAATGCATATGAAATGTTAATAAATTCAAATGATTTCATAACCCCATTTGGGAAGTTCTTTGATTTACTGCAGACAACTTTAAATCAGACATTCCTTCCTTTTTCCAGGAATTCATTTTGAAGTCAGTTAAGAAGCACTCTTGCGTCCATATGAACAGTAAGAATTTCAGCATCAAAAGTTTGCCTGAAATAAGAACTACAGTCGTGCCTTGCTTTACGATTGCCCTGTATAACGACAAATCCGCTTAATGATGCCTTTTTTGTGATCACAATACGATGCTTCCTATGGGCAAAATCTGCTGTGCAATGATCGGTTCCCTGCTTCAGGAACTGATTTTTCGCATTACAACAATCAGTGAACAGCTGATCGTCGGGTCCCAAAATGGCCCCCGGCTGAAGAAAATGGCCCCCCGCTGTTTTCTAGGACGGATTCCTCGCTAGACAGGTACCGAAAATGGCCGCCGTGTGGAGGATCTTCGCTGGACGGTGAGTTTTTAGCCCACTGGAATGTGTTAACCGGGTTTTAATGCGTTTCAATGGGTTTTTTATTTTCGCTTTACGATGCTTTCGCTCTACAGCAATTTCACTGGAACGAATTAACATAATTAAGCGAGGCACCACTGTAAATGAAATGGCATAGGAGGGGTCCCTGTTGAGAATGGCTGATTGAGACCAGTGCTCCTGGAAGGGGCCTCAGACTGGAAACAATTCTTGACACACCACTTTATAAGGGTGATTATGTGACTTATGCAATCCTCATTCAGCCTATACACCACTTTATAAGGGTCATTATGTAACTTATGCAATCCTCATTCAGCCTATATTTCTTTTATACTGCATTTATGGCTGTGGACAGAAAAAGGTTGGCAATAGCTGGTTTAAATCTCAGAAACTATCTACATTGCCAACTGATTCATCCTTAAAAGGCAGTTTCTAATATTTCAAATCTGGGCTACTATGAGCCAAAGTATTAAAACTTGATTCTGAAAAGAGGATGTCGTTAAATACAGATGAGTCTAACTTTTTTATTGGCACTGAAAACAAACACAAGGGCTCTCCATATGGGATATAAAAGAAGATTAAAAGGTAACTGGACGGGTAGAAAAACGATTTCTTTCCCCACTGAGTGATTATCAAGAATCCCTATGTACCAGGGACTTGGTGGAAGGCAGACTTCTGGATCACGCAATAGTGCTTCCAGATGGATTGGAATCCCTGATGGGTTTTTTCTGTAAATTAAGCATTGTTTTGTACAAACCTTGATTCTACACAAAGTCAAGTGAATTATTAGAATGCCACAATATAACGTCCAACTCTAGAGAGTCTTTTGGTTTAGATCTGCATTAACAAAGCTTTGCCTTAACCACCATAATACTGTATAACGTTCAACTCTAGAGAGTCTTTTGGTTTTGATCTGCATTAACAAAGCTTTGCCTTAACCATGTATTGGAAAGCAGTTGCCTTAATTCTTGTTCCCCCCAGTTCTTCAAAATAGATGTACATTATACACTGTCTGTAAATATTAAAGTTCTGCACACATATTCACAATACAGTATAACCATCTATCAGAATCTTTGTGCCACTCTTGTTGTATCTAGTTGTCAGAAACTGCAAAAACAGGGAACCTGTGAAGCATCCAGCAAGCTGTAAGACAGAGTGTGTGGCCTACATTTAGTTTCTCAGGTCATAGTATGTAGATATGAATGTGTTGTTGTTCCATGCCTTCAAGTTGGAGCCAACTTACAGTGACCTTAACAGGGCTTTCAAGGTAAGCGAGATATTTAAAGAGTGGTTTGGCCAGTTCCACACTCCCAGTGAGTTTCTATGCCTGAGCAGGGACTTGAACCCTGCTCTCCCAAGTCCTAGTCTGTCAGTCTATCCACTACACCACACTGGTTACTGATAGATACAAATTACAACAGGGCTATTTGCCCCAACAACAATGTACCACTCTATACAAATACAGCATTTTAGCATTTGAAATTATCACAGATAATTCTTTCAACAACCTTGTCAGGTAGGCTAATATTATTGTCTCTGTATTTAAACAATATTTTCAGAATATTGAAATATTCTGAATATTGTAACACATCTGTAGCAGATGTAACACATCTGTGCTCCTTAGTTATACCAAACTCTATTAGTTTGGTAAACACAAAAAGGCAGACATTATATACATCCACTGCTTTTCTGGACTTCAAGCTACGAATTTTTATCTTTCTCTGCACACACATGCCTAGATACTGGATAAGATAATTCTTCTGAAGATGCAATCCCAAACATGTCTACTCACAGGCAAGTCCCACTGTTTTCAGTGGGGTTCATTGCCCAATAAATGAATACACAGCTACAGCCTTAATACTCCTCTTTATAAAGAAGAGGTTGTAATTGCAGAGAAAAAAAATGTTCATGAGATGTGAAATAAACATTCTAGTTAAGTGGTTGTAAATATGAATGTATGAAGAATTAGCTGCAGCATTTACAGGACATAAAAAAGAATACAAAACAAGCCATCTGAGTTCAGGGGACACAAAATAGCATCTGCTGGAAGGAGAATCTAGTTCCAAATAACTACACAAACCTGCCAAAACGACTTCGGAAATTAAATATTTATAATAAAATTTCTAGGACAGCAGCCTGTATCTTTGCTATTGGATCCTTTATCAAACATGGGATCTCTTTTGTGGACAAAGACACAGAACATTTAGAGCTGGAAGACACCCCAGCTCTAAGAAGAAAGGCAAGTTTGTATTACTGTGTTTTTCTGAAGTTGATGTTTTATTTACTTTAAATACAGTTTCAAAAAGGTGAGATTATATTTTTAAAAACAAAGTGAAAAATACAAAGTTAATATTTAAAAAAAACAGTGGTTCTGTTTCACGAGTCACAAGTTGTGCAGGCCTATGACAAGCCGTTACAAGATCTCTTAACTGAGTGGCCAGATCCTGCATACAGGCAAATCTGTGGAAACAGGCTTCATCAAGTTAGGCATTGTGAGTAAGAGTAAGATTGTAATCAACTAAGAGCTTTAAGGATGGAAACAAAGTATTGAGCATATCTGAATAGGGCTCTGGGCGAGCGCAGTTTCCCTCCCTCCATCTGCCTGCCTGCCCGCCTGCGTTCCTCCCCGGCCAGCACGGCCCCGCATCACTCTAGGGGCAGCTCCTTCCTGGCACCCGTCTTCGGTAAGCGAGTTTTTTTCCATAGGGACCAACGCTATGCCTCCGCATTAGCGATCCTGGAAAAGGGATCGCTATGCGGATTCGTCGTTATACAGTGCGCTCGTTATGCGAGGCACCACTGTATTAAGCATAACTGAATAGGTCTCTGGCCAAAAATACACCTGTTGAAATGACAGCTCAACAAAAAGGGTTAACACATACAAAACCACTAAAAGAATTCAGCTATAAAATTTGCAAGCATGCTTTGAGGTTTTGTATTTTAACACAAACACACAGTCCTTCACAGCAGGGATCAGCATTTTATGTCCTCCTAAATGTGGTTAGACTGCAACTCCCAATAGCTCTAGTCAGCACAGCTAATGGTGAGGAATTATGGGACTTGCGATCTAATCATATCTTCAGGGCTACATGTCTTCCCATCCCAACTTTACAGTATGTTTACATCGACTGTGTCTAGTACACAAATCTCTAGCACCTATACCAGATTTCCTCAAAATGATGTCCCCCAGATATTTTGGCTTCAAAGTTCCATCAGTGTGCAGCAGCAGTGAAAAAGGCCAATTCCATGCTAGGTATCTTTAAAAAGGGGGATTGAAAATAAAGCAGCCAACATTATAATGCCATTGTACAAAATGCTGGTAAGGCCACACCTGGAGTATTGCATACAGTTCTGGTCACTGCACCTCAAAAAAGACATTGTGGAATTGAAAAAGGTGCAGGAGAGAGTGGCTAAATTGATTACTGGGCTGGGGCACCTCCCTTATGAGGAAAGGCTACAGCGTTTGGGGCTCTTTAGTCTGGAGAAAAGGTGCCTGAGGGGGGACACATGATTGGGACGTATAAAATTATGCAGGGGATGGATAAAATGGATAGAGGGAAGCTTTCCCCCCTCTCACATAATACCAGAACCAGGGGACATATCCACTACAATTGAGTGTTGGGAGAGTGAGAACAGACCAAAGAAAATATTTCTTGACCCAGTGTATTGTTAGTCTGTGGAACTCCTTGCCACAGGATGTGGTGATGGCATCTGGCCTAGATGCCTTTAAAAGGGGATTGGACAGACTTCTCAAGGAAAAGTGCATCGCAGGTTACAAGCCATGATGGGAATGCATAATCTCTAGGCTTAAAAGGAAGGTACCTCCAAATGCCAGATGCAGAGGAGGGGTATCAGGTAACAGGTCTCTAGTTATCTCATGTGCTCTCAGAGATGTAGTTATTTCGTGTGCTCTGAGAGGCATCTGGTGGGACCACTGTGAGATACAGGAAGCTGGACTAGATGGGCCCCTTGCCCTGATCCAGCAAGGCTCTTCTTATCAGTGCTCACTATCTTGATTAATGGCCTGCGATAAATGTAGTTCCAAGCTACTGAATTACAGCAAGTGGGGGAAAGTGGCCATTTGCAAAGCATATGCGTTTGTAACACAAATGATTAGGAGGAAGAATGGCTGGATTTCAAATAGATTCCACTGTTTGCAAAGCATATGTGTAAGAATGGCTGGATTTCAAATAGATTCCACCTTGCAGCCAGTTTACCCATAAACTATGATAATTTTGGAGTGAGTCATGTCTTGGGAATTAAAACAGAAATGTTCTCTACCAAGTACAGTATCTCTAGTTCTCAACTCCTGCAATCATATATAGTAGCCCTCTATTTTTATTAACTCCAGGGAAGAAACTCCCAAATTGCAGCCTTTGCTTTCCAAATGCAAAAGGAATTCTCTGCATGAAGGATGAAAGTCATGATACATTCAGTTTTTAAAATGTGACTTCCCGGATTCTTGGCATGTTTACCTGGAAGAATGTAGTCTCTAAGTAAAAATACATGGGTGTCTCTAAATCACATTCTTGGTCATTAGTGCCATTTCTAAATGCAATAGAAAATATAATGAGTTTTGGGGAGGATTATGAGCTAGATATCATACAAGAATTCAAAGAACGCTCAAAACAGAATACAGTGTAGATAAGCACAGATTATTAAATACTTTTAAATCCTGTAAAGCAATTTGGCAAATATTTAGGCTTATATCCTAAAGAAAAACAACTGTTCCGGTGGCAATATACCACCTAGAAGGGGAACAAATGTGATGTTCAGTTCAGGCTCTTCTAAAGATAATCAACAACAAATGCAACATCTAGAGAGACACTGAGTCTCCCACTGGAGGGTTAACCTAGTGCTAACATTATGTACGTTGATGTTTAGAAGATCACAGTTTAAAGGAGTAAACAAAACAGCCTACTACATAGTTCATAAATAGTATACCTTTATCAGCATTTTAGTCCACCTTAAAAGAAGTAATTCCAACAACCTTAACGTCACGTATACTGTCAATCTTAAGTTTACATTTATGTGTGTGCAGGATTTCAGAATGCCTCATCCAACCAACTCCTGTATCTTTTATTAAGCATCTTGAAGACCACACTCCTCCTATCTAGGCCTATGGACTTGGAAGCTGCTCCACTACATGCAATGGCGCTTATTATTTCCCTTTAGCCTAACCATGCGATCCTATGCTTTGTTTGCTCCGAAGCAAAACATACAGAGTTCGGCGGGACGTCCTTTCTGTCGGGTGGGCACAGGGTCGCCGTTTGCGTATTGAACGAGGTGATCACAACGCGATCATCTTTGATCCACTGAATCTTACAAATATAAATTACAAATACCACGACCTCTTACGTATCTTTAAACCCTCCTAAGCGTTTTAAGGGAAACAAAAACAGAAAAGGAGAAAGAAACAACCTGCTTCCGTTCTTGTCCGAAACCTTCCCTAAAAATAAAACACACAGCAATTTTTTTCCCCTTTTTACCAGGCTTTCGCGCATCCGGGCCTTCTCTCAGAGTTTCTTTTTCATCGATTTTCTTCCGACTTCGCCGGCCTCAGAGGAAAGCGGGCACCGATCCCAGCCTGACAAAGAACGACCCGCCGCCCACCGTCGGCCCGTCAGCGGCTGCCGGTTGAGCAATGCGGGCACGGAAGTCCTCCTTCAAAGGATAGGGAACAGCGTTCATGTTATTCCTGTTAGGGCGAGGAAACCCAGCAGGCGGGCGCCGAAGAGGGAGAAATAACTCCTGGTCCTGCACAGAACCCACCGAGCCCAGATTTCAAAGAACCGCAACCACCACCGCCACCGCAGCCGCCCCTTAACAAAGCTCCACCATTACCCATCAATCGTTCTTCCTCTCCCTCTTGGCGACCCGGTTGGAAGGCGGGGCCTTTTTCCATTCCCGCCTCCCTGGCTGCCGTTGGCCACGCCCACTCGCTCTTGCCAAACCCCGGGATGGATCTTTAAATCTTGCGGAAGGGGCAAAGGCATGACAAAAAAAAAATTGGACTCCCGGGAGGCAACACGCAAGGAGGAACATACGTACGAGGCAAGGGACCGCGTGGCTTTCGTGGGCTTCTATTTGACTGGAGAGCCTTGCGTCTTTTATGAGAGGAATGTCGACGGACCTTAGCGAAGCCATTCCCAATCTTTCCAGCAATCCGGTTCCATTTTTTGGCCTATCCGAAACTGTTAACCGTTCTGACCCGGAAGGAAAAGCCAATCCGGCGCATGCGCTTTAATTCTTCGGGGGGAAACATTTTGGGAAGGGAGTCAGCCGGAGGTTTGCGTCCGTTCGGTATTGAGTTTACACGGATGTTTCGGGCGGCCCGTTGAAAGCTCTGCTTTCTTCTGTCGTCAGCCCCGGGCACCTCCATCCTCACGAGCAGCGCGTGTCAGAGTAAGTGGGCCTCCGCCTCCCTCGTGGCTTTTTTTTTCCTTCCAGCACCTCGTCTTGGGAGGGAGACTCTGTCCGATTTGTTGTTGGTCTGTTTTATCTCCCTCGAATGCTGTCGATCCGTCTCTTTGGAACCACTCGTTGACTTTCAAGCGGTTGTGCACGTGTGAATTGCCAGCAGAGGCGCGTGTGACTTCCCCACCCATTGGCTCCAGCGTTTCATCCGTTCCCCAGGGATGGCGGGGCTCTGGGGGGCTGCCACGCCGTGGCTTCCCAGCTGGAGCCAACTGGAAGGGGCGCCTCTTGGTTAAAAGCCCTCGGATCCTGGGGAGCGTAGCCTTCTCTTTCCCACCGTGTGAATACTTGGAACGCGGGCGGGGACGGTTCCGATCGGTACACGGGAAGGGGCTTCGGTGGAAGGAAGGACGGACGGGCCCTGTTGTTGAACGTGGGACAACTGCGGTTCTGGATTGTTGCTGCGTCTGCTGTGAATGAATGGTGGCGTACATATATGGCAGGCTCCTTCCGTGTAGGAACTTGGAAGCATGAATGAAAGGTTTCGGTTATAGTTGGGGTTAAGCGACTATAGTATTCGTTATCTGTCAAAAAGTTAGCTTCTAGTACCTGGTGTGACTTCGAATTAGAGCCTAGGTGGGAACTATGCAAACAGCTCCAGTCTTTCCTTATTGTTATATAGGTTAGTAGCAAACTCAGGCGCTGAATCATGATGGATCTGTAATCAAAACTAGATCATTGAGAACTGAGGGGATAATAAAATACTGTGTTTCCAGAGGTAAGAAAAATATTTTGGGGGGAAGCAGCTGAGGAAGACTGAACTTGTTCAGTGGCTGTAAGTAGAGGGCTAACCACTGGTTGCAGGGGTTGAAATACCTGGAAGGCAAGTTGTAACACAGGAACACTCAGTACTTGCACCTTGTTGAGCTTTAGGAATAAACTGAATAATGTAGATTCATCAGAATCTAAGATGCAACGGAGTGGCCAAGGGCTTTAAAAAAAGGGTAGGTTTTACTTCAAATACAAAACCCTAAGGATTTTGAAGGTAATTCAGTCCTATGAGAAAAACATAGGGCTCCACTTGGTGGCAATTTGTAATAAGGACAGGTGTTGTCTCACCCTCATCCTTGGTGGTTCACCAGTCACTTATGGGAAGTGGGTACTCTCTATGGAAGGTTACTTTGTTGTCTGAGTAGAACATTATTTTTTGACTTTCTGATCCATTTAAGTTACAGTAATTTTGGCAACTTGGGCAGAAATTCTTTCAAACACTTTTTTCTGTTTGGCAGTAATAATACAGTAGTAAACTACATTGCTCTAGTTCAGTAGTAGAAGCAACATTTTGGGGCACCGTAACCAGAGTAGATAAAAATCAAGGATACCCAAAATCTTATGTCCAAGGCAACTGCCTTACTCTACCTGATAGCAGGACCCTGAACTAAAAGAGCAGGCATTTGCATGATGAAGTTGATAATCAACTTTTTTTTGCACTGTTGTATAATATAAAGGAGAGGCTTTTGCCATGATAGTGCTATAAAACTTCGAAGAAGTAGGAAAAATCCCTTTGAACCTTCTGCCTATGTATATTCATAACATACAGGTAGAGTCTTATTCTAGCCATATTTTGATATGAACATAACTCTTGAGATACATATACTCTCTCTCTTTCTCTTCCTGAAGCAAAATATTCTCTGAACTTGAATGTATGTTGTCAAATTAAAATCTTCCTTTCATTTTCCTTTTCAGTTATTGTGTTAATACATGTCTGTTGAATTTTCCAGCATGGAGGCTGAAGAAGACCAGAATGAGGAACCAAAGAATGTTAACCCTTACTACTGCCATGTGAGAATTGTTTTACACATTATTGTAGGAGCTATGAATTGTTTTTAGGGTGTATTTTCCTATGTACTTTATCCCAAAGAATGGTGGGAAATTGTCCATTGGGGTCCTTTAAATATAATTCTGAGCACTTACTGGTAGAAATAGCAACATTGACCTAAGTGGGAACCAGGATAGTAGAGTAAATAAAAATCAATAGTTTGGGGGAAATAGTCTTTAAAATGGGATTTTAAAATTTAAATCAAATTTTTAGAAGTTTATTAACATATTTTTATTTAGAACAGCTCTGTGATCAGTTTTATTGAACATATATTATTCAATTGCTCCATTATAAAATAGAGATATCTTCTAATTTTGTGTTCTGAAACAATGTAATAATATAATTGCATGAAGAAATGACAAGACTTTAATGACACTTTTATCATAGAAACAATCTCATATCTTGAGGGGAGTAAGTGCACCACTAATAACTATAGAAATCTCAGTGTTCAAATGTAGCTTCTGCTTCCTAACTGTTAGAGCAGTACAATAGTAGAACCAGTTACCTCATGAGTTGGTGAGTGCTCCAACACTGGAGGCATTCAAGAAAAACTTTGATAATCACCTAGCAGATATGCTTTGATTGTATTCCTGCATTGAGCAGGGGATTGGACTTGATGACCTTGTAGGCCCCTTCCAACTTCACTTTTCTATGATTCCTATCCTGTTACTTATGTAAGTAGCAGAAATACTGTCTGACTACATTCCCCTCTTTTTGGGGGGAGACGGGATTTGAGGGACTATAGGTGGGTTATTGCTAGACCTCAAAGGATCTTACTCTAGCTAGTCTCTCTTGGAGGCCATATCTGAGGATGCCAAAGAATAGCCCACAACCTAGACGTCTGTTTTTTAAACATTAATTTGTTACTTAATATTTTTTCCACTAAAATGATCAATCAAGACAACATATTAGGAATCATAAATGATTGAGTTATACTTTAAAAACACCTTTGGTAGTTTTGACAGTTATGGATTTAAAAAGTTATACTCTTATTACCATGAAGTAGTGTTCTATAGATAATATTTTTACTTACAACTTATGACCATGTTTGCTGGCTGTGTTTGAGGCCACTGTAATTTAGCATGTTTGTTTCCAACAGTGAACAGCCAGCTGCTTCTGAGAAGCTCATAACTGGCTTGGGAAAGCAATTGCCTCCCTTTTTTGACATCAGCACTTGATAATCAAAAGAATTATTTCTCTGAATGTGAGGGTACCATAGATGTGCTATTGCTAATGGGAATCTGTTCTCCAAGATTGTGTATAAGCCTTTTGAAAGCTATGTAAGATCGATTAATCATACCATTTAATTTATTAAACTGCACAAGGTGATCATTTGTTCAATAAAAATATTACTTTTGGTATTACTGGTCTGCTTTGAACCTGCTACATAGCTAATGATAATGAGTTCTTGTATGACAGAGCCCCCTTCCCCGTACCTTTGTATACAGTGGTGCCTTGACTTACGAACATCCCAATGTATGACCATTTCTAGTTACAACCAGCTCAATTTTGCTTTGACTTGCGGACGTAGCTTTGAGTTACAACCAGAAAAAGGCAGGGAAAAGGGTGGGGAATTCAAATTGCTAACCATTAGTAGGTGAAGAGGCTGCTTCTTTGTAGCTCTTTCACCCCAGCAGTTAGAGAGTGTGCGATAGGAGGAGGCTTCAGACTGCCTGGTAAGGTGCTACTTTCTACTTTTAAAAAACTGTTTTGGGTGGGTTTTTCAGCGTGGTTTTGGGCTGGGTGGTGGGATTATATTTCTTTGCTGTGATGGGTCTTACAGGGTTTGTTTGATTTTTTGGTTTTTCTTTCCCCCCATTTCCGATGGGTCTTGTGGTGTTTGTTTGCTTTCTGCTTTGCTTTTTTTGCATTTCCGATGGGTCTTGTGGGGTTTGTTTGCTTTTCTCCCCCTCCCCCTTTGGCCAGAATGAATTAATCATGTTTTCGTTGGGTCTTGCAATTTTTTTTTTGATGATTTTTTCCCTTTGGCTGGAACGGATTAATTGCATTTCAATGCATTCTTATGGGAAATGGTGCTTCGACTTAAGACCATTTCGAGTTTTGACGGGAGTTCCAGTATCAATTAAGTTTGTAAGTCGAGCCACCACTATGCATGTCATGCCCCCATCATTAGTTGAAAAGCCCCACTGAACTTTACTTTTCTTTGCAGAAGGCAGTCCTAACATCCTGTCCTTTGCCATTCTTCTTTCATCTTCCAGAATTCTGTTAAATATGTTGAGAGAGGGAGCACCAGCTCTGTATTCTCATCATGCCCACACTTTGACTTAATACTGGAATATGAGGAAAATGAAGTGTGGCGGTTTTCTGAACTGACTTAGAACAGGATTTGGAATGATAAAATTCCACAGAGGTTTTACTAACTAAAGAGGCTTCAGCTGCCTCTTGTATTCCTCTATAGTACTTCTTAAAGCCGTTGTCATATCTAGCCTCTTAACTATTAACTTTTTATAAGATAAATCTCTTCTTTATGCAGATTTGCAATATCTACTGTTCATGTTATGTAAACCTGCAGACACATTTCCTTGGAAACAAGCATAAGCTGGTAAGATCATTTTTCCATTTGATCTTAAATTTATGGAAAGTATATTTAGTTACAGATATAGGGATTCTACTGGATTAAACAGAAATATTTTCAGTATGGGGCAAAAGTAGTTACCTGGTTTTTAGAAGTATATCTTAGGGCTGTAAATGTTTTGTGTGCCCCCTTGGTTGAAAGTGAGGTTGAAAGCAGGTCTTGAATTTTCTCTACGCCCCTCCCTTCTCCAAGAGGAGCAGTGAATGTCCAAGCAACTAGTGCCTTCAGTTACAACATTGATTTTATTAGTCAGCCACAAAGCAAACATGAAGATGAATTTGTGTGAACTCGACAGTTTAATAATTATAATTCTTCTGTAAAAGTAATGATTAGCTTACGTATATTTGTCAGTTATTAGTCTGCATCTGGTTGTTTGTCATCTGTGGTGTAACGTTCCCCACCTGATTCCCAAAGGTAGACCTTGCATATCCCCAGAAGCACCTACTGTATTTATAAACTTCATTTCAGGTGGAATTTGGACTACTGTTTAGGTGTGGTATAATGGAAGCAATAGTGATATGTTAGCTGTTTCTGGGAAGCTCATAACCAATGATACACATAGATGTAATTGCACCAATGGTCTTCCCGACAATTGTTTGGGGTATATCACTGTTACTTCCATTGTGAATCCTCAAATTTCACCCAAAAGAAGGTTGATAAGAAACTACTTCAGAGACGGTACCTAAACAAGTCTTTTAGTTTTTGTTGCATTCTGAAGAAAAGGGGTACAACACATGGTTTCTCCATATCTACATCTGTCTTTAAATTTTGCAAATGGTTAATTGTGTAACATATTAAAATCTGTATTCCTATTACCTCTTTAATTTTAAAATAATTCTATGGCTGAGAGGAGGTAAAGTTGCATACACTTAGTTGCACTGTAGGAGAAGAAGTATATGTATAATGTCTCATTCTTTTAAAGCTCTACACGAGTTGTAACACTTATGGCAGAAGCACTCAGCAGACATTTGGTGGAAGGGCTGATGCTGCATGCTGGAGGATGTGCTTTGCATTCAGAAGGCTTCATTTTCAGCCCTTGTAGCCTATGGGTACTTCTCTGAAAAACTAAAGAGCTGCTGTAAATCAGTACTGATAATGCTGAGTTAGATGCCTAAATGGTCAGACTGTCTATAAAGCTGCTTCCAGTGCACCAAGGGCTCAACTAAAGTCCAAATTGTTTGTCTACCTGGGCTTGCATCTGGTTTAATGAGTCATAGGTTATGTGGCAGGCCTGTTCTAAATGCTGATCGAACCTGTTAAGTACTTTGAAAACTCTTTTTTCTGTATTTCTTCCTTCCTCTTGCTAAAACAAATCAAGGTTGAAGAAGCTCTAAAAACACATGGTTTTGGTAAGCTAAAATATATATCTTTATCCATCTGGTCAATAATTATACATCTGGCTGTTTTAACTAATTGACTACTTAATTGGCCTCCAGCAGCTTGGCATGGGTGGGTGGAATGGGAGAGCAGCCTGAAAACTTAATATTTTGTTTTCCAAGATTTGTGAGCCACCTGTATTCCTTCTACCCCATCACTGTAGGAGGTTTTGAGTTTTATTTTTGGCTGAGCATCATATTTTCACTACAAAACAGCATTACCAGATTATTTTGTTTCAGAAAGTACTCTTTCTTCTGTTGCTTGACTCACAAACCTTTTAGTAACACGACTCCCTCTTTCAATTTTTGAGAAACTTTCATACCTCACTTATTTTTTACCATGTATTTCAGTAATTTTAAAATTACCAATAAACCAAAGACAATAAACTGTCAAATAAAAATTAGAACAAATAGTTTTTCATGTCACAAAATTAATAAAAAAGATATTTATGATGTTGCCGTAATTGTATCCACATGGAAATAATTTTCCTGATATGCAGATAAAATTAAGGAATAAACTTGCTTATGACAGGTGATTATGACAGTTACAACTAACATATGGACCAATGTTTCCTTAAGTACAGTATACTTCACCATAACTGTACAAGCACTATTAGAACCAGTTGTAATTCAAATCATTCTATGCAAGTGTCTGAGCTCTCCAGAATTCCTCTTAGATGAGGTGCCACCATAAAGTTTTGAGAGTTCATTTGTTTGTTTTTATTAATTTATATTCTGCCCATCTAAGCAAAGGACACTGGGTGATTTGCAACATAAAACAAAACGATAGGCGAACATCTGGAGGAAGTTGATTCCAGAGTCAGAGTGTGACTGCTGAGAAGGCCCAGTTCCTAGTTGTCTCCGTCTGGGCCTCTCTGAGTCCGCATTTTCAGTTGTCCAGCTTGGAACAAATGGAAGAATGGTCAATTCTCCCTGGAAGAAGGTCTTCTGCTAGGTACTGAAGTCCAAAATTGTGTAGGGCTTTATATGTTAGAGCCCTCACCTTGAAGCTGCCACTGAAGTGAACAGATAATCAGTGTAAGCTAGTCAGAGTTGAGGAAATGTCTTGGTATTTACTTAGGGACGTGATGGCGCTGCGGTTAAACTGCAGAAGCCTCTGTGCTGCAAGGTCAGAAGACCAGCAGTGGTAAGTTTGAATCCATGTGATGGAGTGAGCTCCTGTCGCTTCTCCCAGTTCCTGCCAACCTAGTAGTTTGAAAGCATGTAAAAATGCAAGTAGATAAATAGATACCACCTCGGTGGGAAGGTAACAGCATTCCATGTCTAGTTGCAATAGCCACGTGACCATGGAAATTGTCTTCAGACAAACGCTGGCTCTACAGCTTGGAGACGGGGATGAGCACCTCGCCCTAGAGGCGGACACAACTAGACTAAATGTCAAGGGGAACCTTTAACTTTACCTTTAGCTTGGTATTTACTTGTTCCACTCGGTAGCCTGGCTGGACCTGCTGAAGCTTCTGTATCAGCTTCATGGAAAGTCCAACATAGAGAGCATTACAGTAGTCTATTCATGAGACTACCAGTACATGGGCCAGTGTAATGAGGAACAGGTTATTCTGATAGGGACGCAGCTGCACAGTCTGCCTGAGATGGGAATAGGCAGATTGGACCATAGATACTATCTGGGTGTCTATTGATAGCGCTGGGTCCAAAGGAATGCCCAGACTGTGCACCTTATCCTTAGTGGAGAGAGTAACCCCACCAAAGGAGAGGGAGACACCAAATCCACAGATATCAGGGGCACCCACCCAGAAGACCTCAGTCTGGGTTCAGCTTCAGTCTGTTGTCCTCCATCCAACCCAGCATGACAGTCAGGCAACGCTCAAGGGACAGGACAGCATCCACTGCAGAAGAGTGGAAGGAAAGATAGAGTTGCGTGTCATCCGCATACTGGTGACATGAAACTCCAAAACACTTGATGACCTCCCCCAGCGGCCTCATAGAGACATGAAATACTAATAGGGAGATAATTAGCCCTTGAGGTACTCAACAGTTGAGAGTCCAAGGAATACTCTGGTGCAATCCTTGAGGATGGATCAGAGCCAGGACAAAGCAAGGCCACCAGTCTTTGAGCTTCTCCAGGAGGCTACTGTGGTTGATGGTCTCATAGGCCACTCAGAGATGAAGGAGGATCAGCAGGGACCCTTTGCCAGCCTTTCTCCGAAGTCCAGGAGCATCGGTTTCAGTCAGGAGTGCCTTTTGTTATGAAAGGCAGTGTTGAAATAAATGCAATACTGGTGACATGAAACTCCAAAACACTTGATGACATCCCCCAGCGGCCTCATAGAGACATGAAATACTGTACTAATAGGGAGATAATTAGCCCTTGAGGTACTCAACAGTTGAGAGTCCAAGGAATACTCTGGTGCAATCCTTGAGGATGGATCAGAGCCAGGACAAAGCAAGGCCACCAGTCTTTAACTCTGAGAGCTTCTCCAGGAGGCCACTGTGGTTGATGGTATCAAAGGCCACTCAGAGATGAAGGAGGATCAGCAGGGACACTTTGCCAGCCTTTCTCCGAAGTCCATCGTGCAGGGCTACCAATGCCATCTCTGTGCTGTAACACAACCTAAAACCAGACTGGAATGGATCAGGAGCCTCGGTTTCAGTCAGGAGTGCCTTTCGTTATGAAAGGCAGTGTTGAAATAAATGCACAGTGGTTCATGTTTAAATCTGATGGTGTCAGAACCTCAGCAATTCAAAGGATGTACTGAGCCGGTGAAGTTTAGTGGCTACTGGACTCAGACTTAAGAGATCCAGGCTTGAATCCCTATTGAGTTATGAAAATCCCTACAGGAATTTGAGCCAGTCACACACTCACTTGGCTTACGTACCTCACAGCATTGTGGGGAGGATAAAATGAGTAGGAGTGGCAGAGCAAAGCATGCCTCTTAGTTAAATAACAGCACATTAAAATCACAGGCCAAGTTAAATAATATCACATTAAAAAATTGACATTTCACAGGAACATTTCCATTCTCCTCCCTGAAAATATGAGGTCTTTGTTTGCCTACCAAGCCTGCCTTTATTATTTTTCAAACCCTCAGAATTCCTCAGGAGCTTTACCTCAACATAAATTTCCATATTTCTTCAAATTCCTTTGGCAGTATGCTATGAATTTAAAGCGCCTTCCTGAGAAACAGAGCTTTAAACAAGACATGGAAGGGTAGGACAGGTGATGGCTGTCTTGGCCATGTGCCGCTGTGTGTAACTCTTTCTCTCACACACATGTGCACAAAGCCCACTATAAGAACAGGCCATGTGCCTCTCCCCTCAAGGATCTATGCTAGACCTGACTGTTCCTTGAGAGTAGCTGTGGTGGTGACAAAAGACAGGTTGTTCCCGTGTATGCAGGTGAGCAGTGACCGTACAGGGCTGCCTCATGTCTTGTTTTCCACCTCATACACTCCTCTTTGGATCTCTGTCTACATCTTCTTCTTTGGCTTTTCTTCTTCCTCATGCTCACCGTTGTGGCCAACGCTGCTGTTGAGCTTCTGGATCTTATTCCTGTTGTAAATGTGAATAAATAAATATTACTTTGTTCTTGCTTATTTGAAATGCTGGTAGTAATGGAAAATGTAGGTGTGAAGGAATGAAATGATGATTGTAGAAATGGCATTTCAGATACCTTAGTTATTATATCTGTATTTCAAGTAGATAGACCATTACTGCAAAGAAAGTAATGTTTTTGTATGTGTCATGCTTCTATAAGCCACATCCTGATCTGGCTTTAGTACTAAGCACACATACTTGCTGAGAGAATTTCATTTAAATCAAGCATATATATTATAAATATATTCAAATGAAATATATTAGATTTCTGGAGGAATTGACAAGCTGGAATGTGTTCCAAGGAGGGCACCCAGGACAGTAAGTGGTCTGGAAAATCCTATGAGGGACAGCTGAGGAAGGTGGGTGGGTTTATCCTGGAGAAGAGAAGACTGAGAGTAATGTAGTGTAATATAGTGATCTTCAGATATCTGAAGAGCTGTTACATGGAGGATGGAGCAAGCTTTTTTCTATAGTTCTAGAGGGTAGGATCGAAAGTGATTAATATTATGAGACAGACCTTACCTAAATGTCAGAAAGAATGTCTTGACACTAAAGTGGACTGCCTTGAATGTTGGACCTCCTTTCAAAAGAATTTTTAAACAAAGGTTAAATGGTGATCTGCTTTACTTTGGTTTTCCTGCTTGGCTGGAGGCATTGGACAATGACCCTTGGGATTCCTTTCAGTTCTGTCATTCTGTGGTTGGCCGTTTTGTTTTGTTTTTCCTTCCTTCCTTCCTAGTTAAACCTGGAAGTGCCACAGGAGAGCCGGTCAAAGCACCAGAAGGTCTTCCTGGTAAGTGGACATTTAAAAGAGAGTCTCTACTACTGAGTTTCCCCAAAAATAAGACAGGTTAATTTTTGCTCCAAAAATGCAATAGAGCTTATTTTCAGGGGATTATTTTTTCATATACAACATTTACTCAAATACAGTCAGGTCATCATCTTCTGCTTGCTGCACAATGGTGGAGGGCAGGGTTTCACTTAACTGGGGCATATTTTTGGGGTAGGGCTTAAATTACAAGCATCCTGAAAAATCATACTGTCTTTCAGAGAAACAGGGTATAGTGTGTGTTTGTGTGTGTGTGTGTAAACTGAAGCGTGACTTAGAGTCAAACAGTCCTTGTTTTACTGAGTTTTTGTGCAGTTTAATGCGACAGGGATTGGAATGGCTCACTGGAAAAGTGAACAGAACTGGAACACTAAGCACTGGAGTGTTTTGTTCCAGGTGCTACTTGTATGGGATCTGTAAATTTGCAAGCTTAAGTTAGAGCGGAAGCAAAACCTAGTGAATGTGGTTTGGAATGATAGCATGTTTCCAGTCGATCAAGTCTTTTTGGGACTGATATAGATCTGCAGTGATTTTGTGGAGCAGCCATTTTCTTTTGATACTAGTTTGGTACTGTGCTCTGTCTGACATGGAATAACACTATTCCTATTCCTTTCACCCAAATATGGTTGTATCATGCTGGTTCTTTCTAGTCTAGTAGGTTTCCCTTACACCCCATGTATCAGTTCTTAAAAAACAGCTAGCTAATCTTGCTCAGATTGTTAAGTATCAGCATAGTGGACAGGTTCAAAACACATGGTCCTCCACCTGTAGTTGGGATTAGCATTGGGGTTTAGATGAATGTCCACATTGTGAATTGAGCCTAATCGCATGGGCAATTAATGAAACCTCTTCTAGGAGAAACAGTAGCTCAGGCAGCTCTTTACATACACAATATGTGAAAGGAAATTTCATTCTGTGATCTGTGAAACAAAATTTTTGTACTCCATAATGCTTTTTACCCTTTGACAGCTAGCACCAAATCTGAGAAAGGTTTGGGGAAAACATTGGAAGAACAACTTAATTCATGTAAAGATACTGAACCCGCTCTTGGTAAGTTCTACTAAGAGTATGACTGTGCTTGATTTGATTCACACCCTTATTAGATTGCAGTCATTGCTCACATGGGCAGCAGATTGAGCCAGGAGTTCAGTGTTCATGCTGAAGGAGATGTGATTTCCATTCCAGCCCACACTCCCCCTTCTTTCCTTCTTCTGTTCCCACCTCTCCTTCCCACATCTGCCAGTCCTTTTATGGGTGTAAATACAGGAGATAATAAGGTCTCAGCAATAAGGTGATAGGGTGATCTAGCACTAATTATATATGTGTAAGAATTAAAAAAAAAAGAAGAAGAATTGGGAGAGAGAAAAGAATGGGGGGCATGTTCTCCTGCTCCTGAGCTTCATGCCCCAGCTGCCTATGTCACTGTAGCACCACCTACAGATACACATTTCTGTAGTGTTTACATGGAGTAGATGTTCCAGTAAAAGGAAGATGTGTCAATTTGCTTATGTTTTGAGTGAAAAGGTATTGATCAGTGGACTGAATTTTAACCCATTTTTGTCTTTTCATGAGATTTAATTATATGAAGATTTGCCTCTAATTTGAACAATTACAGTCCAGCACAAATGTATTGCATCTACTATTAAAAGCATGATATTTATATTTTTGGAGCTTTTCAAAGAATGAGAAGTCAAATTCCTGCATATTACAGAGTAACATTACCCTGTTTCCCCAAAAATAAGACAGGGTCTTATATTAATTTTTGCTTATTTTCAGGGGAATGTTTTATTTTTGTCATAAACAATCATCTACATTCAAATACAGTGGTGCCTCGCATAACAAGCGCACCGCTTAACGACGAATCCGCATAGCGATCTATTTTTTTATCGCTAATGCGACCGCATTGCGGTGTTTTAATGGGCAAAACATCGCATTGCGATGATCGGTAAGCATTTGTTTCTAAAACAGTTGATCGACAGTTCCAAAATGGCCGCCGGGTGCCCAAAATGGCCACCGCAACTATTTTCACACGATTTGTAAAACAGTTGATCGGCGTTTCCAAAATGGCCGCCGGGTGCCCAAAATGGCCACCACAACTATTTTCGCGTGATTTCCTCGCTTACCAAGGGCGCAAAATGGCAGCGCTATGGAGGATCATTGCATAATGGTGAGTTTTCGCCCCATAGGAACGCATTAAACGAAGTTTAATGCGTTCCTATGGGGTTTTATTATCCACATAGTGATGTTTCCGGATAGCGACGATTAATCCGGAACGGATTATCTTCGCTATCCGGGGCACCACTGTACAGTCATTCCATCTTCTTATGGTTGCTGCACAATGGTGGAGGGCGGGGTTTCACTTAACTAGGGCTTATTTTTGGAGTAGGACTTACAAACATCCTGAAAAATCATACTAGGGGTCATTTTCAGGTTAGGTCTTATTTTAGGGGAAACAGGGTTTGCAGTGAATGTTCACTTTATGAAAACATGTGACACCAAGCAGAGGATTGTACAAGTTCTCTGGTTGCATAGCAGGGAGAATAAAACTATATTATCACAGGCTGTTTCCTGTTTACTAGAACAAGTCTGCCCTACTAGGGGTAGAGAAGCAAGGTAGCATAGCAAAACTAATGTAGCAGAGGAGGCTGTGTGAGGCATTAGTGAGTAATAATAAGTCAGGGAGTATTTGATTTTGTTAGCTAACTATTTTTGGTAAGAGCACTTACAAATAAAATAAGATTGGGCAATACATTACTGTATCTAACGTTGGTATATGATGTTCTTTCAAAATATTTGTGCTTTAAAATATAGGTCTCCAATACATAACTGAATATCAGGCAAAAGAGCTCATCTATGAGTGTAATCTGTGTGGATGTCAGTCAGGAATAACAAACATGTTCATGCATGTTTTGGGTGCAAAACATAAATTGGCATATTTGGTAAGTAACCTTAATTTTTAAAGCAATGATATGTGATATATGAATTTTACTATCCCACTGGTATTTATTATAATATGTATACTTCACGTGATATGTTTTTATCTTAGAACAGAGGTAATCAATAGACACATACTTGATCATATTGTAATTTGTTTTGTGTTCAGTCTGTTTCTGTAGATCACTTGAACTCTAATTTACGTGTCTTAAGTTACAGTAAAATAAATGTAAGCTGGAACTTAATTGTGCAGTGGCTGTAGCCATTGTATAGTTAACAGTCATGAGAAATGTCCTTGTTATAAAGCTCTATAAAGATCTATATGGCCTGCGTCCATACTTTCTGAAAGCTTATATCACCCCTATATGAGCCTCCTCAGCTTCTAAGGTCGTCTTGAGAGTGCCTTCTCCAGTCCAGTCATCCTGACAGTCTCATTTGAAAGACATGAGAGAGGGCTTTCTAAGAGACAGGAGATATATTGCTCAGACTTTTCTTAGTTATGGTATCCAACATCTTTTTAATTGGAGAGGGAAGCTGAGAGTGGCTAAAAGGTAGGTGGGATGGAGGGAGAATCATTAATTTTATTTGCTGCTCCCTTGCTGATAATTCCTCTTTACAGCTGAAGATTATAGAAATATTAGCTTAGTTGTATTTTTCTTTTTAGAAAAGGCACTATCCTGAAATAGCAGATGATATTAATTGTCATGGTACCAATTTGACTAGAAAAGTTAAGAAGATCGCTGCAGAAATTGAGCAGAAGGAAGGAAGGAAGAAAATAATGGTATGATACCACACATGATTTTTTTTCCTCATTTAGAAAATTGTGCCTTTAAAATGTGTTTGTCAAAAACAATAATTGTGGGACCATATTGGAGAGTTCTCTAAGGGTTAATGTGGAGCCCTTTTCTAGGCAGAAATTGAAAGTGACCGTGGGTTTTACAGGTGTTCCTTTCAAATGGCATGGTTTTATTTCCATATCATGTTTCTCTGACCCTGGGAAGCATGTTCAAAGAAATTGAGAGTATCTTCAGTCCTTTTCTTTCTACAGTGGGGTATGCAAGATATGTGTCTTTTGATACTGTTGACTTGCTACTTCTGTCAGCTCTCACCATTGACCATACTGCTTGGGGTGATGGAAGTTGCAGATCAGTATCGAGGAGGTATCAAGTTACCCACTTCTGCCTTGCAGGGAAGGGAACTAAAGATCTGCAATTGTGCATCTATTTGTTCACGGAAAATTAAATCTCTTTTAATAGATCCTACATCTGTGTAAAATGCCTCCAAAATTATTAGTCCCCTTTTTATTGATTAGAAGGGTTGCTGGAAGAATGTGGGAGCTCCTTTGCTAGCCTTGCGTATTAATAAAGACAGATTTAGGGCTTGACTACACTGCAAAAATACTATGCTTAATACCAACATGTTTTCTGATTCTACATGATGTGAAGCTGAGTTCATGGAAGTCAAGTCTTTTTCTCTGGGAATTCAGTGTATTTTGATTGGCTGACCGGGTTCTCCTATTTTGTCACATTTCTGCCCACAAAGCTTTGGTTTCTGTCATGTATGATAGTTTATATTGTTTTTTTAAAAAATGATTCTGCAGGCAATCAACAAGATCATCAAATCAATAAGGCAAAAGGGGGGTTAAAAGAGGGGAGAAAGAGGGAAAGGCAATGGGAGGATCAAACAGAATCCTATCCAAAAAGAAAGTGAAAGAGAGGAAGAAAGGAAGGGTTTGGCTTTAGTTTTTTCCAGGTGTCCTGTCAATTCCGTGCTGTATCACCCATCAGAACTTCTTTTAACAGGGAAAGAAGTCCAGAAGGAGGAGTTAGGGGGCAGATAGGGTGGGGAGTTGGAGCTTGTGTTTGTGCATTTTAGGGGATGAAGGTGGCTGATTAAAGGGACCTTCCTTACTCCCAAGTCCTTTCAAGGAAGCAAGAGTATGCTGCTATGAAATGAGCCTTTTGGGAGGTGGTGAGGGTGTTCAGTAATTCCTACAGTGGGGTGTTGTTTGCAGTTTGTTTATTTGTGCATTTTTGTGTAAGTGAAAATCATAGGGGAGGTAAAATTGTCTCAACTAAACCCCTTTCTGCAACCATAGTGCAGCCTGGATAACGAAGTAGAAACCACTGTCACTCTTCTCCCCTCATGTAGCATCACCTGGTTAGGCTCGGGACAGCCCAGGAGCAGACATTCCCAGCACAAACCCCAACCCCTCAAGCTTGTGGCAAGTGCCACAATATTAATTTAATTATTAATTATTATTATTTGTTTAATTATTATTATTAATATGCCACCTTTCTCCTGATAAGGGGACCCAAGGCAGTTCACAATATTAAATGAATTAAATTACAGACATAATAAGTTAAACATTAAAAACAATTAAACTGTACACTAATTAAAATACAGTTGGACAATTAAAAGCAAGCAAACATTAAAAACAATCTGAACTTCAAATAGGCATTCAGGGACTCAATCATGATGATTAAAAGCCTACCTGAAAATATGGGCCTTCAGCTGTTGGTGGAAGGATAAAAGGGAGGGGGGGCAGCCTGATCGTCTCAGGGGGAGAGCATTCCATAACCTGGGAGCTGCCTCAGGGAAGTGTCTCCATCAGCCGTGCCTGCACTGGCCAGGAGACCAAGAGGAGGGCCTCCTCTGACAATTTTAAGCACCAAGAAGGCTTTTATGTGGACTTGCAGTCTTTCACCCAGGCTGTATAGGGCTTTATAGATAATGAGCAGCACTTTGAATTGGACCTGGAAATAGATTGGTAGCCAATGGAGTTCTAGCAAGAGTGTTATATGCTCCCTATATCTGGCCCCAGTCAGTAGTTTGGCTGCTGTATTTTGAACCAGGTGAAGCTTCTAAACCATCTTCAAAGCCAGCCCCCCATAGAATGTGTTACAGTAATCAAAGCGGAATGTAACTAGGGCATGTGTGACTGTAGCTGGATCCGACATCTCAAAGAACAGACACAGTTGGCACATCAATTTTAACTGTGCAAAAGCACTCCTGGAGACTGTTGAAACCTGGGCATCCAGGCTCAGGGATGAATCTAGGAGTACACTCAAGCTGTAAACGTTGAGTTTTCAGGGGGAATGCAATTCTATCCAGCACAGGTTGTATCCCTATTCCCTCTTGTCCAGCACAGGTTGTATCCCTGTTCCCTCATCCGCCTTCAGATTGACCAGGAGCACCTCTGTCTTGTCTGGATTACGTTTCAGTTTGTTTGCCCTCATCCAGCCCATTACTGATGACAGGCACTGGTTGAGGAACCAAGACAGCTTCCTCGATATTAGATGGGAAGGAGAGAGAGAGTTGAGTGCCATCCACATACTGGTGACACTGAACCACAACTCTGGACAGATTCTCTCAGCAGTTCTGTGTAGATGTTAAAAATAATGGGAGACAAAGCAGAATCCTGAAGAACGCCACATGCCTATTACCAAAGCGTTGAGTAGGAGCCCCCAGCACCGCCTTCCGAGTTTTCTTTCTAGGAAGGACTGGAGCCACTGTAAAAGAGTGCCTCCAAGTCCCATCCCAGAGAAATGGCCCAGAAAGATATCATGGTCAATGCTATTGAAAGTAGCTGAGAGGTAGAGCAGAACCAAAAGGACACACTCCTCCTGTCCAGTTCCAGATTATATAGGTCATCCACGAAGGCGACCAACATTCTCTCTGTCCCATGGCCAGGCCTGACACCAGATTGAAATGGGTCTAGATAATCCACTTCCTCTGGGAATCCTTGCAGCTGAGAACCCACCACAGGTTCCAGTATCTTGCCCAGAAATTAAATATTTGAGACTTGATAATACAGTGGTGCCCTGCACAACGAGCAATTTGTTTGACGATGAATCCGCATAGCGATTGAGTTTTTGCGATCGCAAAAGCGATCACATAACGATGTTTTAAATGGCAAAACATTGCTTTACCATGTTTCGCTTACAAATTGTGTTTCGCTTGCCAATTGTCGCATTGCGATGTTTTAAAAACAGCTGATCGGCGGTTCCAAAATGGCTGCCGGGTAAATAAAATGGCCACCCGCAGTGTTTTCGCGCCCTTTCCTTGCTAACTGAGCAGCGAAAATGGTGGCCACATGGAGGATTTCCATAGGTGAGTTTTTTCCCCATAGGAACGCAGTGGCGAAAGGGTGATATTAATAGGGTAAGAGGCTGCCGAGGTGAACATTTTAACAACAGAATGGTATAATATATACTCATGCAATGAGATAATTAAATATTTCTGTGAGAACAACTTAAACAGTTTCAGCTCTGGAAACTGCCAGGTATAAAAAACATACAATCAACCTCGATGAAACTGATGATAATTGGCAGTACAATTGACCTCTTAGTAAAGCAGAGCGTAGAAGTGAACATTGCCTGGTTCCTGTCTCCGCTCCCTTTGTGTTTATGCTATAAGTGGACAAAGGGAGCTGCTCATCGCTCACTCAAAGTACCAGAAACTGGCATCATCCAAAAAAAAAAAGTCAAGGGAAAACCACCTTGGCCAGATAAAGGGAGGCATTTCTTCACAATTAATTTTAAACTTGGAATTCATTATCACTGGATGCAGTGTAGGCTAACAACTTACAAGGTTTTAAACATAAATTCATGGATAATTGATGGCAGCTAGTCATGATTGTGAGGGTTCACTATTAGCCTCCAACTTTTGCTCAAATAAAACAGGAGTCGTTTTTGAACTGAAATCCAAATGTATTTATTTCTTTAGTTAATGGTAAAATTTCTCTTAAAGTGTCCTTTGCAATGTCTCTTGCAGCGCCAGTGGGCCCCACAAGGTAACCAAAGTTCTAAATCAAACGGGTTCAGGGATTTAACCTCCCAGGGTCTTAGTAGAAACAGGTCAGAACTTGAGACGTCAGCTTCTGCTTTGTTATCTCTCAATAACGATAACGTTTCTTCATCTCTGTCTTCTCTCCATGTCTGGTCTCCCTCTCTCGCAAAGGGTCCCCACTGTCCCGGAGGTACACCACCCTCCGCACACCATGCCCAATGTTCCTCTGCTTCCTGGGCCACTGCTTCCCTTTTCCCCCTCAAATGTCTCCTCCACTCCCTCGCCTCAGACTCTCCCCAGTATGATGGTCACTGGGGAAGCCCCTTTCTCTGGGGAAGTCTGCCTCTTCCCTTGGGACTTTTATCTTTTCCCATTTCCCAGTCCATGGGTCCTCTACCCAGATGAGTTCCCAACCCCCCGGAATATTGTGCTCTCTATTTATAACCCCCATTCCCGCCTCTACTACGGACCTCCCCCGTTCTTCTCTTCCCGCCAATTCTTGTTCTGTCCGCGTCGCCACGGTCAGACCCCGTAGATTTGTTTCCAGCTCCCAGGTATCTATTCCCTGGTGTACTTTCCTTGGAGGGGTTGGAGGCAGAGTGGTCTGCATCCCTTTAGATATTTTATATGGGGACAGCACTCCTACAAGAGCTTCTATGCTCTCATCTCATTTATCACAATGATGTCTACATATTACATTAAAGGTGGCATGCCTCTGCATTCCACTTATTGGAAACATGATCAGGAGAGGATTATTGTACTCATATTCTGCTGGCAGATTTCCTATGGGCACCTAGTTGACCATTTTAGGAACAGAATGCTGAACTAGAAAGGCTTTCGGACAGATCCAAGAGGAAGTTTCTCCTTTTATCCTTTGTGTCCAATATGAACATTTTAGTGAAATACTAGAGGAGGCGAAACCTTACTTCCTCTTGATGCTGAGTGTGGAGGAGAGTACTATGCCTTTTCTTTGTCCAGCAAAGAAAAGCAGCAGGCAGGGCAACTGAGAGATAGTCAGCAGACAAGAGAAAAACTACTGTAATTGTATTGATTATTTCAGTAGCACACATGGTGGCAGAGGCTCGTTTTTCTGGTTGTGAATGTGCTCCAGAAAGAAATTCAAGGAATATACATATTACCCATCTAAGGGTTTTAGTGACTACAATGCAGGTCAGATTATTGGTTTCAGCAATATAAATCAAACAGTTGTCTGTTACAGCTTTAGACCTTAGATTCATAATGTAGCTTGTATAAAAATATGTTTGAAAGTTTTTTTTTTTCCTATAGGTTTCAACGGATGTTCCTGTTATTCATGGTGAGTTAATACAATGTACATTAAGAGAAATTTCTTTATAACACCCTCTCACATAAACACGTTTCGAACACAATTACTTGTCAAACAAGGCAATTGGAATAATTGACAGTTCCTAATATATGTGCTTACTTAAGATCACAATGCAACAGTCCCATTCTTTCTACAAATATAACAAGTTCTCACTTAGTCCTCATGATCATGAAGAAAATGTGCAGGTTTTGCTAGAGGATCATAAATGGGATAGAATTCAGTGAGTTAATATTTAATTCATTTGGTTCAAGTTTTTAATGGAAGTCCCCACCAAATACTGTACAAGGGGGTAATGATAAATATTGAGCCTTCCCCAGAAAAAATTGAGCTGGGAAGCTATAAATTGCAGGGTGTATTGGCCAATTTGTCTGTATGCAATGGCACAAAAATCAACTACCTATGATTTTCACTTATGTTTCATGTTCAGGTCCAAAGCGAACATGGCAGCACCTCCAGAAAAGTTCATTGTGGAAGAGCATAGGACCATAATCAAGTTCCTATTTCTCCAAGGGAATGGTGCAAAGCAGATCCATGATGAGATGTCACAAACTATGGGTGACAGTCGCCCTTCATATGTAACAGTTAAACATTGGGTTGTCAATTTTAAAACTGGTCATTTCGGTGTTGAAAGTGAGAAACCCAGTGGAGGGCCTGTTTCTGCCTCTGTGCCTGCAAGTGTGAAAGCCATCCATGACATGATCATGAAGGAGTGCCGAATATCAGCCAAAAGTATTGCTATATATCTGAGAATATCACGTCAGAGAATTGCTGCCATTATCCACAATGACTGGGAAACGAGAAAACTGGCAGCAAAGTGGATCCAAATTTTGACAACCAAACAAAAGAGGAAACGTGTGGAGCCATCGGTGGCTGTTTTGGAATATTTTGCAAGATATGAGTCAGATTTCCTGGGCAAACTGGTAGCTGGTGATGAGACATGGATCTACTGTTATGATCCGGAGACAAAGGAACAGTCTAAAGAATGGAGGCACAGTGGTTCCCCCAGGCCAAAGAAGTTCCGAGTGCATAGGTCGGTGTAGAAGCAAATGGCAACAGTATTTTTGGGATAAGAAGGGAGTTCTGCTGGTGGACTACCTTCAGTGCAAAATATTACTGTGCTTTATTGACGAAGCTGAGGCAAAACATCAAGGAAAAGCATTGAGGAAAGCTCTCCAAAGGCGTCATCCTGTTGCATGACAATGCTTCGACACACACTGCAGGTGAAACAATGGCAAAACTGACCTCCTTAGGCTTTCAAGTGATGCCCCATCTGTCCTATTTTCCTGACCTGGCTCCTTCTATTATCTGTTTCCCAAACTCAAAAAAATACCTAAAGGGACAACGATTTGGGAGTGTTCTGGAGGCAACTAATGCTGCAAATGAGTGGTTACACCAGCAGTCGGAAGAATTTTATTTACAGGGACTTAAGAAGCTGCAGGACAGATGTCGCAAGTGCATTGACTTCCTGGGGGAATATGTAGTATAGTGTGGCCGTTATAGCTTTGTAGCTCAAATTTTTTCTGGGAAAGGCTCAGTACTTATCAGCACTCCCTCATAACCTTTGGTTAGGTAATGAAATCCAATAGTTTAACTGAATCTGCGTCAAATGGAATGTAAAACTATATAGTTCACATGACATAGCAGCGTCGTTCTTATTAGACATTTTAATAGATAAAACAAATAAAAATTAACTAGTGAAGAAATAAAGCGGAGTACTTTATATGGAAATATTTGCTAGGAAATTGTCTTTATACATAAATAGGGACCATTCCAGATTATATTTTCATCTTTTTCCCCCTTTAATTTTGCAGATGACAGTTACGCAGTTCAGGGTTCAGATTCTCTTGTCACCTGGTTTTCTGAAGGTAAGCTTTTAGGCTCAGTAAAGAAAGATCTTCTGCTCATGACTATTAGATTTAGTTGATTTGCTCTATATATGCTAAGTTATATGAATAGCACTTGATCATCTGGAGGAACAAAGGTGTGGTTTTTACCATGTAAAATCAGATGATGAAAGTATTTAGAAAATCTTTTCAGGTAAATGCAGTCCCCTGCTCACTCATTCATTTGGCCACTCACCATTTGGCAACAGACACAATTGTGATAGGCAATTATAACATCAGAGGGTGCTTGTTTTTAGATCAGACATAGAGCAAAGGGGATTAAGCTTCAAATTCTGTGTTTGCTGTCAGCTTTGACTGCTCATAAGCCATAAACTTGTTCTATGAGAGGATCTGACAGTGTTTCCGTTTTCAATCTAATATAATCCTTATAATTTAAACCACTGGTTCCCAAATTTGTGGCCCTAGGCATCATTACAGACTCACTCAGAAAACAGACAAGGTATTTCAAAGTTCCAATGGGTTTCAAAGACATGGACTTGAGAGCCCATGAATTTCAAAGACATTTCAAAGAAAACAGACTTGGTACAGTGGTGCCCCGCAAGACGATGTTAATCCATTCCATTGAAATCGCTGTTTAGCGAAAACATCGTCTTGCGAAAAGCGTTTCCCCCATTGGAATGCATTGAAATCCATTTAATGTGTTCCAGTGGGGAAAATAGTCATCGTTTTGTGAAGATCGCCCATAGGGAAGCCATTTTGCGAAACTGCCAATCAGCTGTTTAAATTGCTGTCTTGCGAAGCATTGGTCATGAAAACACCTGTTTTGCGAAGATCACCCATAGGGAAGCTATTTTGCGAAGCCGCCGAACAGCTGTTTAAATAGTTGTCTTGTGAAGCATCGGTCCCCCCAAAAAAGCCTTGCGAAGCACAGACCGAAACAAAGCCGCCAAACAGCTGTTTAAATCGTTGTCCCGATTTAAGCATTGGTCCCGAAAAAAAAAGCCTTGCGAAGCACAGACCGAAACATCGTCCAGTGAAAATTGCCCATAGGAAACACTGTTTGCGAAGCACAATGGTGATTGCAAAAACTCATCATCATGCGGATACGTAGTCATGCGGATTCATCATTTTGCAGGGTAATCGTCTAGTGGGGCACCACTGTATTTCAAATTTCAGTAGACTTACATTTTGTTGAGCTTGCAAGAGGTGCTTTGGTGCTACATCCCAGTCCCAAGTGAAATAGCTTTGGAATTACCACAGTGGCAGGGCTGCCTTCTTGCACCTTTTTGATTTCTGTCCAGGGTCTAAATCTTTCAGTCATTTGATATAATTTTTAGTTCTGCATACACAATGGGAATTGAAAATTTCAATGCAAATTTGCTTCTGTTTGTTCTAGCCTTCTCTGGTCTTAGCTACCGTGTTTCCCTGAAAATAAGACAGGGTCTTATATTAATTTTTGTTCCCAAAAAACTCATTAGGGCTTATTTTCAGAGAATTTTTTTTCATATAGAACAATGTACATTTACTCAAATATAGTCATACCATCTTCTGGTTGCTGCAAATGGTGGAACGCGGGCTTCACTTAACTAGGGCTTATTTTTTAAATGGTGGAACGCTGGCTTCACTTAACTAGGGCTTATTTTTGAAAAATCATACTAGGGCTTATTTTCAGGTTAGATCTTATTTTCAGGGAAACAGGGTATTCATTTTTTTACAACTGTTCAGATTTCCCTGAAGTTACTGGGATTCTGACAGCTGTTCAGATTTCCCTGAAGTTACTGGGATCATTAGTCTAAGGAAACTCATCATGTTGCCTTGAGAAGACTCGTGAAAATGACTCATTAGCCCTCATTTCTAGCTTACCTGAAGACAAGGACTGACACCCCCTTTGATCCAAATCTAGTGACAGTCCAATCCAGATTTTTGATTCAACATTTCCTGTTTCGTTAAAGGGAGGCTTCAGATTTGGTATTTCCCATTATAAAGCCTTTATGAGAACACTTCTTTCAGCATTCTGTTTCAGAATTAAAGAGTTTAGAAGCTCTTTGGATTTGCCATGAGTTGCTTGCACTCTACCTTTTACTTGCTGTTTATTTAGACTGCTTAGTAATCAGAGCTCTCTAGGCCTTGAGCAGGGAAATTAAAACAGAAAGCAATTAGCAATTATTAAGCAGAATATTAAAAAATCAAGACAAAACAAGCAACAAAAAAGATAAATACAGCCCATGATCTGCAAGTTGTGCCAGCAGCAAAATAAAACTTACTTGGCAGGACAACTCAGAGCTTTGGAAGATGACGTCACAGTCTTGGTAGGAAGGTATGAGAGTAAATGTTCCTTCAGGTAGGAGAGTATAGAAATCCCATAGCATCACTTTCTGGAATCAGCCATCTAAGTAGGAACAGGGCCATTGCATTTTAGTGCCCTCACGACTTAACTCAGGCAGTATATCCGAAAGAATATAATGACTGATGGTTCTGAAAGCAGTTGAGATGCCCAACAGAACCAACAGGGTCACAATACCCTGTCTTGCCACTGGCACAGATTGTCATACTGGGCAACCAAGGGAGTTTCTATTCCAAATCCAATGTATTGATACTAGATAGCAATGGGTCAAAAAAAAAAAATCAGTTTCCTCAAGGAGTGCCTGGAGTTGATCAGTGATACTTGTTTAAGCAGCTGCATAACAAGAAGTGTCCTGATCACCACTTGTCCTAAATAGATTCATACTACTTTCTGTCTCAAAGAGGAATTCACAATATCCTGGACCCAGCAAGACATTGACTCTCTATTTGACTTAGTAAATTGGGGTGGGGAGGGGTAAAGGGCTATCTTCCAGCCAGTGGTCTTTTCCACATCCTCAGGCCTCAGTGTCTGAAACATAGCTAATGCATTAAATCTGATAGTACTCTGTGCATCTTTATTCCTACAATTTTATTGTGGGTCAGTTATGAAGGATGTGATGATTTTATTTCCAAAATCTTGCACAAACTTGTCACAATGCATCACTGATAGCACAGCCAGAGAACTCTACTTGGGCCAGAGTGCCACACACACTCATTTCTTTCTGTTGACAAATTGGAGTTTTAATGTAAAGTAGTGCCAACAGAGTTTCAGACTTTTTGAAGAGCTGTTATTAAAAAAAGCTTAATCTGTTTTTTAGATGATCCTGGTGTGGAAAAAAAGAAGGAAGCGGATAAGAAGGAAGGAGATAAGAAGGAAGCGGATAAAAAGGAAGCGGATAATTTATGTATCAGGACCAGTGCGAAGGTGGCTGACGAAACCAACAAACCTCTGTATGTTTTCAGATCTTAGAAAATGTATTTAGACAACTACCTGAAAAAAAACCTATAATCATGTGATAAATTACACCCTCTTTGAATTCTGTGGTTTTATGTATCAGGACATTAAAAAAATCTGGTCCTTAGCAGGTCTGAAAATTAGGTAAATACAACCTCTGATGAACAATAACACATGATGTATTATACCATGATTTATTTAACAAAAAAATAAAGCCAAAATGGAGAAGCCATATGTCAAAAACTGAATATACCTTATGATGCAGTAGCTTGTAGAACCACCTTTAGCAGCAATAACTTCAAGCCATCATTTTCTGTATAACTTTATGAGTCTCTCACATCATTGTGGAGGAATTTTGGCCCACTCTTCTTTACATCATTGCTTCAATTCATTGAGGTTTGTGGGCATTTATGTATGCACAGCTCTCTTATGGTCCTGCTGCAATATTTCGATCGGGTTGCAGTGTGGACTTTGGCTGGGCCATTGCAACACCTTGATGCTTTTCTTTTTCAGCCATTCTGTTGTAGATTGGTTGGTTTGCTTGGGATCATTGTCCTGCTGCATGACCCAATTTTGGCCAAGCTTTAGCTGTCAGACAGATGACTTAACATTTGACTCTAGAATACTTTGATATAGAGGAGTTCATGGTCAACTCAATGACTGCAAGGTGCCCAGATCCTGTGGCTGCAAAACGAGCCCAAATCATCGGCCCTCCACCACCACGCTTGACGGTATGAGGTGTTTGTGCTGATATGCTTTTTGGTTTTCACCAAACATGGCACTGCATTATGGTCAGACATCTCCACTATGGTCTTGTCTGTCCAAAGGACATTGTTCCAGAAATCTTGTTTGTCCAGATGCAACTTTGCAAACCTAAACCATGCTGCCATGTTCTTTGTAAGCAGAAGAGGCTTCCAAACTAACCATACTTGTTCAGTCTTCTTCTAATTATACTGTCATGAACTTTAATATTTTATATGTTATGAGGCCTGTAGAGTCCGAGATGTAACTCTTGGGTTTTTTGAAGTTTCTATGAGCATTCCACCTTGAGTTGGATTTGATTGGATGAATCTTCTGGGAAGATTGGAAGCTGTCCTGAATGTTATCCGCTTGTGAATAACTTTCCTCACTGTAGAATGATGGACTTTAAATTGTTTGGTAATAGCTTTATAACCTTTCCCAGACTGATGGGCAGCAACAGTTGCTTCTCTATAGCCGTTGCTGATGTGTTTTCTCCTTGCATTGCGTTAACATACACCTAGATGCTCCAGACCAGCATACTGCTACAACTTCGGCTTTTATAGAGGTGGTCACACTTGCTGATGATCCATTACTCAAGATCATTTGTGCTGCTGCTTAGCCTCTTAATTCCTATGGAAGCAGTAAAGTCATACTTAGTTTTTCACACACAGTTCCTCCACTTAGGCTCTATTTTTGTAAAATAAATCATGACATGGTATAACATGTTGTGTGCTGTTGTTCATCTAAAGTTGTATTTACCTAATTCTCAGACCTTCTAAGGACCAGATGATTTTTATTATGTGTGTACTTTCTTTTTCACATGACTGTAAATGACATGGATTTCTTTTTGTTATTTAATGACTCTGTGAAGGCTGAAAATTCAAGAATTCAATTGATCTGTGTGTGGCCAGGGGGTTTATTTGGCCCATAGATTTCAAAGCATAAGTGCAGTTGTTTAAGTGTGGCCAGGGGGTTTATTTGGCCCATAGATTTCAAAGCATAAGTGCAGTTGTTTAAGTAATCCATAGGTGTTGGCTAGGAAATATATAAGGTCTCTGCTTACTTCCCCCAAGTCAAGTTTGCTGGTACCTTTATCAAGTCAGTTTGCTGGTACCTCTATCAATTCAGAAAGAAGAGTGAAAATCTCCTTCCGGGTCAAAACAGTGGAAACAAATATAGGCCTGTTATGAAAGTATGGAGAGCTCTAATTGCGGCAATTATGTAAACTCTGCTTCCATCTGCCCACCCCATCTGAAAGTGAGACATACTTTCCATATTCACTGCAAAGTATGTGTAAAGTTTTTATTTGGCATGCAGATAGGACTCCTAATCATGTGTACTCTGCATATGATTAATGGTTCCTTCTTCAACTTGGAGGAGGTGAGGTACTCCAGGGCTCAGTCCTGGGCCCTATGGTCTTCAATATTTTTATTAGTGATCTGGATTGGGGTGCAGGAAATGCTAATCAGATTTGCATGGGGTGCAGGAAATGATAATCAGATTTGCAGATGACACAAAATAGGGTGGAATAGCTAATACTCAAGAAGACAGAAACAAAATTCAAAATGATCTAGATAGGCTTGAGCACTGGGCCAAAAACAACAGAATGAAATTCAACAGGAATCAATGCAAAGTACTGCACATCAGAAGAAGAAACCAAATGCACAGTTACAAGATGGGGGATGCCTGGCTCAGCAATACTATGAGCTAGAAGGATCTTGGAGTTGTTGTAGATCACAAGCTGAATATGAGCCAAGAGTGTGATGTGGCTACAAAAAAGCAAATGCTATTTTAGGCTGCATTAACAGAAATATAATCTCTGGATCCTGTAAGGTACTAGTTTTCCCTCTATTTGACATTGGTTAGGCATTGGGCATCCATCATCTAGGTAGGATGTGGTGGCGCTGTGGGTTAAACTGCAGAAGCCCCTGTGCTGCAAGGTCGAAAGACCAGCAGTCATAAGATCCAATCCACACGACAGAGTGAGCTCCCGTCGCATGTCCCAGCTCCTGCCAACCTAGCAGTTTGAAAGCATGTAAATGTGAGTAGGTAAATAGGTACCACCACGGTGGGAAGGTAACGGCGTTCCATGTCTAGTCGCGCTGGCCACGTGACCACGGAAACTGTCTATGGACAAATATTGGCTCTATGGCTTGGGGACTAGGATGAGCACCGTGCCCTAGAGTTGGACACAGATGGACTAAATATTAAGGGGAACCTTTACCTTTACCTAGGCATCATCTTGAGTATTGGGCCCAATTTTGGACTGCAGAAGGATACTGACAAATTGGAACAAGTTCAGAGGAGGGCAACAAGGATGATCAGGGGCCTGGAAACCAAGCTGCATGAGGAAAGACTGAAAGAATTGGGCATGTTTAGCCTTGAGAAAAGAAGACAGAGGGGAGATATAACACTTTTCAAAGACTTGGAAGGCTGTCATAAAGAGGAGGGGCAAGATCTGTTCTTGATCATCCCCGAGTGCAGGGCACTCAACAATGGGCTCAAGTTACAGGAAGCCAGATTTTGGTTGAATATCAGGAAAAACTCCATAACTGTTAGAACAGGACGACAGTGGAGCCAGTTACCTCAAGAGGTCGTCAGTGCTCCAACACTGGAGGCATTCACAGTTTACTAACTTTTGCTTCTATGTGGACTTAAATGATTCAAGTGCCTCAGCACTTCATACAAGTCTGCATTTTTCAGAGTATTCTAGTTGCCTAAAATGTATTATTGTAAACTTTCTCTGTTGGAGGTCTGTTGCATTTGATAGTTGTTACATAAATTGTTCCATGATGTGAAACCTTCTGTCTGTGGTCCACAAATAGTAGAAGATATCCTTCACTATTTATTTAATTGCCCTGTACACCAAAAGTGCTGTATTTCTTCAGTTCCAGCCTTGTTCTGATGTAGTTAAATATGCAGAAAATGGATGTAACAACAACGACAGCAACAACAACAAGCTTCTGAAATACTAGAATTTGAATTATGGTGACCTTTTCTATAGTTTTCTGGGTGCAGTGTACTCAGGAGTGGTTTACCCTTCCTATCTTCTGAGGTGAGGTTTCTTTGCAACTGTGCAGCTTGTCTAAGGCAACACAGGTGGGCCTGCCTCCTGAGAGGCACAGTGGTGGGAAATCAAACTCACAATTGCTGGCTCTGCAGCCAGAGTAATAATTAGATAGGTCTGTCATAGGAAAACTAGCTTCACTTGAATAGAAAAAAATAAATTTTCAAACAAAAAAAAGTTGTGGTTTTTTTTAGTTTTTAAAATACCATGACCGTCCTATGTTTCCTGTTGAATTTTCATTATTTTGCAAAGAGTTCTGTCCCATATACCTGCCAGGCTGCAGCACATGATTGCTGGTCTGCATTTGATTTAGTAATTATGTAGCATATTCTAAGCATGTGTAGACATGATTAAGTCTGTCGAGCTGAGTTAGCTACAGAATGTGCTAAAAACTACAGCCATAGAAAAAAATAATTTTTCAAACAAAAAAAAGGTTTGTTTTTTTTTAAAATACCATGACTGTCCTATGTTTCCTGTTGAATTATCATTATTTTGCAAAGAGTTCTGTCCCATATACCTGCCAGGCTGCAGCACATGATTGCTTGATTTAGTAATTATGTAGCATATTCTAAGCATGTGTAGACATGATTAAGTCTGTCGAGCTGAGTTAGCTACAGAATGTGCTAAAAACTACAGCCCTTGGCTTCATTTTTGTTGTGCTTGTGGCCTGAAGTATCCAGGGCAAATATTGGTGTTCAGGAGGGATTTGAAAAGAGTGCGTGGGACCATGTATACATTCTGGGAAATATTTATTTATTTATTGGACTTATATACCGCCCCCCATAGCGCTACAAGCACTCTCCAGGCGGTTTACAATTTAATTATACAGGCTACACATTGCCCCCCCAGCAGTGCTAAAAACTACAGCCCTTGGCTTCATTTTTGTTGTGCTTGTGGCCTGAAGTATCCAGGGCAAATATTGGTGTTCAGGAGGGATTTGAAAAGAGAGCGTGGGACCATGTATACATTCTGGGAAAGGCCTCTAGGTGTATGAAAAGCTCAGGGAACTGGCATATTAATTCAAGTGTCCCAACAAATTAGACACTGACATTCTGAAATTAATGCACAACTTTCATAACTTGTGCAGTCTGTTTTTTGTCATAGGACAGTTGAATGTTTGCTCATAGATCTTTTTGTTTTTATTTTTTATAACACATTGATGGCAGAAAACCGGACAATGAAGAGCACCAGAGTCAGGTAACACACTTGATTTACTGGAAGATTTCAATAGCAGCCCTCTCCATTACTTCAGATCTTATTAATTAAAATGGACTTGTACTCCTGTGTGTCCTAAAAATAAAATGCCACGTTTTGGCAATGAATGACATTTTTTCATATTGTACTGCTTTTCCAAGTTCTTTGTAAATAAGAAAACAATGTTATTTTACTGCATACACCACATATTTCAAAAGAGAAATATTACATATGTTTTATAGAACACAGAAAAACTAGCAATGGCAGACTTGAGTGATTCGGATTCAGAAGAAATCCAGAGCAATGAAGATTTACTAAACTACTTGGTAGGTATTTAAATATTGCTTGGTGTCAAAATTGGACTTAATGTTTCATATGCCTTATAGGGTTGTATCTCCTTAAAGTCTAAAAATAAAATGGAAAAATTTTGGCTGCAAAATGGTGAGTTTAGTTTCTCATACTTCAAAAGTGAACTTGATGAAGGAAATACATTTAAGAAAATGTTACTGTATCATTCCAGCCTGCTACTATCATGGCATTATATTTCACCATGGTAACCCAGTCAGGTCTGTGAATATAAACAGTAGCTCAGCTTTCTTCATTCTTCATCTAAATATCAATTATACTCGTCCTTTCTTTGACCTGCTTCAAAATCAGTGGTTTCCCAAACCTGGGTCCTGAGATATTGTTGGTCTCCTAAAAGCCCCAAGCAATGTGAATTGGTGCCGGGGTTTTCTACCTTTACTTTTTCCTCTCCATCTTTTCTGTCTTTGGGGTGGTGCTGTGTCATTATATATTGTAAATGTGAGGATAGGAATTGCCATGTTTTTATATATCTGAAAGCTCTTAGCTGAAGAGCAGAGTATATGTCCTTTAATTTAAATACCTGTGTTTTATCTGCTCTAGAAATGTTTTGCATTGATGAATGGTAAATATTTAAAATTAAAAGTCTCAATCACTGTAAAAATGTAACAAGAGGAAATCATACTTCAGTGGGAGAGGACACATTTTGTGGACATAAAAGTGGTTCAGTCTTTCTTAAAGCATCCATACTAACAAAGCCAGAAAAGGCCAGCTGGAGAGCTGCTGCCAAACAATCATAGGCTGGACATACTAATGTGATAATAATAATCCTGTGCCATTGAGTCCATTTGACTTATGGTGACCCTTTTCAGTGTTCACTGTGTAGAGAGTACTGGGAAGTGGTTTGCCATTCCCTTCTTCTGTGGGCAACCTGGGACTATGTAGCTTGCTCAAGGCTATATAGGCCCAGTTCAGTTGCCCACGGTGCATCTTCTGGAATGAGCAGTGGGAAACTGAACCCCCAACCTCTGGCTCTACACCCAAATACCTAATTCCTTGAACCACCCAGTTAGATGGGAGAAAAACAGGAAAAGAATAATAGTAAATAATAGTGATTTATACAGCAGTTACAGAAACTTAGAACATTGAATATAGGTTTCTGTGCTGTGGAGTTTTGAATCTAAATTTTGGAAGCATCGGAAAGATCAGAGAAAAAAGATTTTTAAAAAGGAAGAAGATAAGCAAGTGTAGTTATCCGACAACATCTGTATCAGTCTTCATCTATAGGATGAAGAAATGCTAGTGCAGTGATAGTACAACTCTGAAAGTCATGGTGACAAATTTTCGTTATAAACAATGGTCAAAGTGTTAGTTAGTTGTGAGAAGAAAAAGACTGGAATTGTATGTACATTTGTGCCAGTCTGGTCTCAATGAATTTAATACCATTAAGCTGGATTTTTGCATGATAACGTACTTGAATGTTTGAATTTTAGACTTAAAAAAACCCCACCATATGACTGTCAAAATAAAACATGTCAGTGTGCCTCTGAAAAGTTAAATGTTTATCAACTGGTTTGGTTTTGTTAAAACCTTTTTTGCTATGTTGCCTTTCTTCTAGAAAACCTTTGAAATGGTGACTGAAGATGATGCTACATTTATACTGACAGTTACACAGAAGCTTACAAGTTCATTGGTGGCATATCGCCAGAAGGTTTTAGAAAGAAAAGTAACTTTCTCTCTTATATTTCTGCTGCTTGGTTGGTGTTGTGTAACTGCTGAATGTTGCCCATTAAAAGTGGCAGTGGCTGTATTTTATAGTCAAGATGGAAGAAAATACAATGTAGAGTCCCTGTTTTGATAGGATCTTACTGTTTAAAGGATGCAGTGGTGCTGTGAGTTAAACCGTAGAACTCTCTGTGCTGCAAGGTCAGAAGACCAGTAGTCATAAGATCGAATCCATGCTTGTCCCAACTCCTGCCAACCTAGCAGTTCGAAAGCATGTAAAAATGCAAGTAGATAAATAGGTATCACCCCAGTGGGAAGGTAACGGCATTCCATGTCTAGTCGCACAGGCCACGTGACCACGGAAACTGTCTTTGGACAGACGCTGGCTCTATGGCTTGGAAACGGGGATGAGCACTGCGGCCTAGAGTCGGACATGACTGGACTAAATGTCAAGGGGAACCACTGTTTTAAATCATGGTCCAATCCAGTCTTACCAATTAGAACTTAATATTCTTGACATCAATGCTTGTAGTAGTAGTAGTGGGTGGAAGGCAGAGATGAATCTACTGGTAAGATATGCACTGGGTGATCTGAGTTCCAGTTATTAAGCAATAGCAACAAAATGGCTCCCTCCATTTGCTGAAATTAAGGATGCTTGGGATAACTAGAATTGATTTCTTTGTGGAAAGACTGGAAGAATACATTCAGTTATGAAAACAAATCCCTGTACTAAAATCTTTAATTCATATGTCTATTGCACCAGGTCTTGGTTGGTAAAGCTTGGAATCTGAATAAAAAACTAGGTAGATTCTTGCCCCATTCAGCTGAGAAGTGTGCTGGGTGGCCTAGAGCCAGTCATTATTTTGTAGCTTCACCTACCATATATTGCTGTTGCCAAGATAAAATGTGGAAAGAATCCATCCATCCATCCATCCATCCATCCATCCATCCATCCACATCCATCCATCCATCCATCCAAATATCCAAATATCCAAATATCCATCCAAATATCCATCCAAATAAATGATGTGGCCACCACAGAGAAGGTCCAGTTTCAAGTTGTTGATTTCTGTGCCTCCCTTGGGGTGGCCACCTGTAACATCCCTGCATATGAGGTTTGGGTAGGATGGGTAGACATTTTGAGGGAGAAGCATTTTAATACACTCCACCATTGGTTTCTTTGAATGAGATGGAAATGAAGTTAATAGTAATATCCCCCAGTGAAGTGTTCTGATGCCTAGGTATTTTCAAGCATAGTACCCTCTTTCCCCAAAAATAAGATCTAACCTGAAAATAAGCCTTAGTATAATTTTTCAGGATGCTCATAATATAAGCCGTACTCCAAAAATAAGCCCCAGTTAAAATGAAATCCCACCCTGCACCATTGTACAGCAACCATAAGATGACATGACTGCATTTGAATAAATGTAAATTGTTTTACAGTACATGAAAAAATAAAATAGAACGTCCCCAGAAAATAAGCCCCAATGTGTTTTTGGAGCAAAAATTAATATAAGACCCTTTGTTTTCAGGGAAATATGGTAGGTTGCATGAGATGAGTTGCATGAGATGAGATGTAGAGTGGAAAGAGATGGAAAATGGCCCTGAAATTGTGCAGCAATTTGGGATGTTATAAAATGCAGAAAGGAGAGACAGCTTTTGTGTCAAAGAAAGCTTGGCATTTCATTGTGAAAATTGTAGTAGCACAGTATATCTGTGGTGCAATGTGAAAGCTCTTCTTATAGAGGTGGGTCATGCCTCTGATTGCAGGGGAAAGTTTCTTATTTTGCATTAAAAACAGATAACATAAAATACCTGTGTTTCCTGAGCCAGTTCTTCTGCTTCTTTATAATTAAGGATGGGACTTTAAGGAAAAATGAACTCTTTGTCTCATTTAAGAAAAAATGAACTCTTTGTCTCATAATTTTGCAGAACCACCCCCCCCCCGAGCAAATTATGGGCTGGGGAGCAATCAGACATCAAAAGTTAAAGCAGCCTTCTGATTTCCATGCTTCTTCCTATGATGCTTTTTTGCAACCTCTGCAAAGCATCTTGGTGCATCTCTCTAAATCAGTGGTTCTTAACCTTTCACAATGGAAACCCCAGCCAGCACAGCCGGTGGTGAAGGCTTCTGGGAGCTGCAGTCCAAAAACACCTGAGTAACCCAAGTTTAAGAACCACTGCTCTAAATCTCTCGTTCTCATGGCTCACAGATGTGCAACAGGGGACTTGACAGAGGGCACAAAGAAGCAGCACAGGAATTGTGTGGTAAAAGGACTGTTTTACTTCCTACTGTTTGACAGCTGCTCATTCCATAATTTGGTCTGCCAGATTACAGAATTGGTAGTTTGTTTTTCTTGAAAGTCTCATCCATATTTATAATTTCTAGAACCATTAAGAAGCATAATAATGAAAACCTTTCTGCTTTCTTGGAGCATCATAGAAAAAGATGACCAATTCCAGACTAAATAGACTGAATTGGTCCAAAAAACCTCACAGGTTTAGCTTCCAAGTAAAAACTTTAATAAAACAATGAAAGATGAAGCTTTTGACAAAGAAGCTTTTGTCATCTTCAGGATTACTCATCTTTTATTTTATTTGGAAGCTAAACCTGTGAAGTTTTTTGGACCAATTCAGTCTGGTCTGGGCTTGGTCATTTGTTTTCTAAGCATAATAATGTAAAAGAATCAGAGAGGGGGTTTTCAAACTAGGAATTCCAACTTCAAAATGCAATAAATTTATCAGTCTTAGACGCAAGACTGAGGAAAGTTTTAAAAAACCCTTTACCTTATTACAGAACAGAATCATCTTTTTCTTACTGTTACAATTGACTTGTCATATAGCTTAGTCTGAAAGACTGTGACTTGACCCAGGGTCACCCACTATGTTTCATGGTGAAGAGGGAATTTGAACCCTTGTCACCCAAATCCTAACCACTTAAAAACACTAGCTCCCTCTTTAGCAGTGAACTACAGGTCCTTATATGTGTGAAATACAGGGTGAGGCAAACATTGTGAAAGAACATCCCATCCCCTTGCGACTATTTTGTAGTGGCACTCATAAGACTTTCTCAAAATTCCAAATAGGTCCAGTAGACTCAAAAAACTGGGAATGTTTCGACACATCTTTTTATACTTTGTGAATGGAAAGGGGTTTTCATAGATAAGTTAAGAATACCTGTTTATTGTATATGCTATGAAATTTGAGTTATTTACTTGTGAAGAAGTTAAGAATCTGCTTACTGTATGCAGTTTGAATTATTTACTTTGTTCATGTATTTACTTAAGTAACCTGCATGTTTTATTCAATAATTGTTTTTAGAACACTTCTCAGTTGACTAGGAAAGAAAGATGTGGTCACTTAGAGCAAACAAAGAGAGCTTCCTTGAACGTTGGCAAACCTAATCGTGGTAAGAGTTTTACTGGAGCTGAGACAACAGCCGGGAAACTGAGGGGATGGTGATTGGCTAAGAAAGAATAGAATAGGGTATTCTTTATTTGCATTACCCATGTGCTTTTGCAGCTATGACATAAAACACTTACTGTGATGTAAAACCAACATTCTAAAATAAAGAAGATAAATACATGATCATTAAGTATACATTCATTGTCTGAAAAATTAAACAGGAAAGTCTGCAGAGAATTAGTTTTGAAATCACATTTCACCTTATTTAAATTGTTGCTGCTAATTTTTGCAGACTGTACCATCACTTGTTTATCTCAGTCCACAAGAATAGATATAAAAAATCCGATGAGCAACCCAGCATCCCTGTAAAAAGAGCAAAACAGGAATACATGGGCAAGCATTTCAGTAATGTCACCACATGAGCATATATGAGTGTGTAATGAAATTATTCTGAAGTTCTGCTGAAGGCACATCAGGTTGTGCACAGGAAAAAAGCCCTTCTGTATTTAGGCACTTGCAGATACTGTGCCATTATATTTGGAGGACTTATTAAAAGTAGTCCTAGCAAGGACATGATTTTTTGGTGACAGAAGCATTATTGTGACGATGGATACAAAAGCTGATTTAGTAAATTTCTTACCTTACCATTACAGTGATCAGTAAGTGTTGAAGTAAAAGTCAAAAGTACATAGTTTGCATTTAATTTCTTTCATCCTTTTGCTCTCAGTAGGTCTTGCATAACAAAAACGAAGCAGACCAGAGGTAGCATCTGGCTGTTAGCCATGGACAAGGATTGTGCTAGCAGAGGGCAGTGTCATTATTTAAATCAGACACATTTGTCAAGTAGTAGATGTAACAGTTTGGTGAAAGAAATTGGAGGCAAGGGATTCGTTAGTCTGGAGTAGTAGAAATATTTTCATGTTTTTCGCCAGCTTAAAGTAGGGTCTCAGGAGGCAATGGAAGCACACCGTATCAGGAAAAGCTGCAGTTCACATTCCCTACCACCTATGACCTGCTTGAGGGTAGCACTTAAAGTCAAAACTTGGACAGTAGTTTTAACCCAACACAGAGAAATGAGACATGGATCATTTCTATTGCATGAGTAATATTTCAAGTACTCACTGAGGACCATCAACCTCCTCACACCCCCATTTACAGATGGTCCTGATTACTAACATAGTGGCTGAAATCCTGTTGTTGTACATTATATTGTGTAAGGCTGATGGAATCAGCAGTGGTGAATTTTCAAAAATTAAATATATTCAACTTGTGAAGCTTCCGAGGCTCCAGTGTAATCCTTTTCAGCACCAGGAAGCCATGGAAGCTGCAGGATAAGAGGGAGAAGTCTCTGATTACTGAACATTGCCACCACTGAGATGATTATTCCAGAAATTTTGAAGACGTTTAATTTCTGAAAAATTGCTACTGCTGATGTCATCAGTTGTATGTCATGTAAGTTGTGACAGCAAAATTTCAGCCAATGTGTGATCTTTAAATCAATATGCTTTTTAAAAGCTATATGAGAAAGCACATACGCTATACTTGGTGGATAAAAGCATTTGACCTTCAACACGTGCTTTGAATACATAATTTGTTTTCGAAGGGGACATGGACTATTTTGTTTTTTCCTTACATGGGAACAAAGCACACTTCATTAAATAGGAACACGTAGGAAAATAGAATTGGACAGATATGCTAACTTTCTCAAGTATGTATCTTATTGTATCCTTGTGGAATGAAATTATTTATTTTATTTATTTATTAAGCTTCTAGACCACCCAACTTAGTGAAACAATACTTGGGGTAGTTTACATAATTAAGCAAAATATACAAACTAAAATCATAAAAAATGCATAGATAATAGCAAAGACAAACAAAAACAGGAAGGCCACCGAAGACTGGATCCTGGTGGCTTCGGTGAATCAAATTATATAAACCATAACAAAATGTCCAGTAATATAATAAAATAATAACTGCAATAGAATACAGGTCTCAAAAATTAACCTAGGATTATCGAGTTATCTTTTCTCCCTCACGTTTTTCTGATTTTTTTCTTCTCCTGCAGGTTTTTCTGAAAAGCAGCCTCCTATTCGGTACACCAGTAAAAATAAGGGAACAAAGCTGAATTTTCATCCATCAAATAAGCGGAAAGCAGTGTCGCAGAATGCAGATGACAGTGCAAGAAAACATAAACTTGGGACCTCTGTGTCCACATTTGTGGATGTACCTAGCAAACAACTCTCCTCTCATGTTGGAATTCCTCCCTCTTCTGAGCAACATATATTGAATCCAGTATCAGACAAAAACTCTTCCTCTCAAAATCAGTCATATGCACCCATGGCTACTACTTCTGGACCATCAACATCTGAGAATGATATAATTGCAGAATTTTTCAGCAGCATAAGAAATATGGAATTTGATGAAGTTGCTGCCACCTTATACAGAGTTGCTGCATCAAATCCCTCATTTAGTGGTAATTGGTTTTCTACACATTGGTGTGTTCTCTCTTGCCCCCACTTCCTACTTTATGAAAAATAGGAGATGCAGTAGAAGGCTAGTCACTGAAGTTGATTGAGCTAAGTCTGAATCGAAATCCCTTACTTTCTTAGTAAGGGTACTATGGTGCAGCGATAAAGCAGCCCATTCCTTAATCAAAACCAAAGGACCAGAGTTTATTTGTAGAATTCTGTTCCTCCCCAAGCCTTTCTTCTCAGGTGCCCTCCACAACTTGAACCCTGATCAAGGATTATATTAAAATTATCATTCCAGCATACTGGAAGTGAGGGCTTTTGTTAACTAAGTTTTGAAATTAGTGCAGGAGTAGGTGATACCTTTAATTGACCATTAAGAATATAAAACTAAAAAACTAAAAGAAAAAACAAGTAGCGAGCTTTCGATGATAAATCATAATTTTTCCCAAGTTTTGGAATTATTTCAAGATTGTGTAATTTATAATGCTTATAATTTATAAACAGTATTATTTTTTTAAAATAGACTCATTTTCATGAGGTTTTGTTTTTTTTGTAATAGATGACTTGGCACAATTATGAGGTGCATAATATACAGGTCACTTCTTGCATGTTCTTCCATGTTCTTTTCCTCCTATCAGGCTTCCATTAACTGCTAATATTAATTATAGTATTGAAATAAGGTATAAATTGTTTGAAACTTGAAAATTTTATTTAGTGTTTGGATGAATCTTAACTTGGTTCTCTTTTTTTTCTTTCTTAAATCAAGGAATGGATGTTGAAAATGTACTAAAGATCCTAACAGAGAGTGGGAACTTGAAACCAAAGAAGAGCAGCAGCACAAGATGAAGAAAAGCAATTTCTATCAATATTATTGTTTTTAAACTAACTGTAGATATCTATTGTTAAATACATTAGAGATACAATGTAAAAAGTCTTCTCATTCCAATATTGCTTGCCTCTTTTCTCCTCTGAATAGTATTATTTGTTCATCTTTTAAAAGAAGAAAGTGTTCATTTTGTCTTTCTAATACATGTATAAATTTGCTTCTAAGAGGTCTGCCATTTATTCACTAACCATGCTGTGTAAATAGCAAATTCATAATACTATTTGGCATACATGCAAGTTCTTGAATGCATATTGTTTGTTGCTCTGATTGATGAAAGTGATTGTCCACAATGTAGCTGCAACAATTAAAAATGTGTTGAATCATTAGTCTCAACCGTTTATTAATAAACACATTTATGTATGACAAACTGCATAGCAAAATTCAGCAAAGTTGTATTTGCAAATAAAATTACCTGTATGAAATTGTCATTTGCTTTATGTATAGTTTTCCTTTACCAACTTTTTAAGCGTGTAAACTTGAGAGTGTGTTTTATTGTTTAAGTAACAGCCAATTTTATTTGCAAATACAGGATGTCTTGTTGCCGAATATTGCTATTACGCATTCTATAACTTTCTCACCCCCTGCTTATTGGTAGAATGTGAAACCAAATATTGTACAGAGTACACTATGCGGTCTATCATGTGTTCATAATTTGCACTGGGCCCTCCGTTGTAGTCAGGTCTTGTTAAAGTTCTCCTCAGAGGCTCGAGTGCATCGGGCCCCTTATTGCACGCCGCCTACTCTTTTCCCGGCGTAGGCATTTGAAGGCAACCATCCCATTCCTTCCCCGAACTCCCAATCTTGGTGCCGCTGCGTGCCTGCCAAGCGCTGTGGTGTTATTCAGTTTCTCAGCCTGTAGGTGGCGCGCGCGGTTCGAGGAGGAGGAGGAGGCGGCGGCGGGGGGCGACGTCTTGAGGGCGGTTCCTTCGGTGTCGGGCTAACTCCTCACCAAACGAGGATGAAAAGGAACGAGGGAGGGGGGGCTGTGCCGTTCCCGCAATCAATGGAGTCACGTGCTCTCTCGCGTCTCGCTCCTGATAGGCCGAGAGGTGATAGTTTTCCGGAATTCGTGAAAGGAAAAAAGGGCACGCTCCCGGAAGGAGTTGCTGCCTCGTGGGTGGTTTCGCTTGTTGGAGAGTCGGGCGCGTGACTATCCGCCAGAGTTGACTAATTGTGAGTCTCTCTCTCGAGGGGCTTGGGCGACGCTCGAGCGTTTGGGGAGGTCCCGAGGAGGGGCGTCGGCTGGGCGCTCCTCAGGGCCGGGCTGCTTTTCAGCCTCCGAGACGCGTTGGCGCCGCCTCTTCGCTCCCCTCCTGTGGCTCCGCTGGGAGTCCCAAGGGAGTCAGTCCGCCTTTGGGCTCTCTCTCTCTCTTGAGGGCGGGGCGCTGGTTTTAATGTTTCCCACCTACCGTGTGTGGGACCTTCTTAGTGCTTGAAGGGCAGGAGGAGGGAGGTTTGTTCCTTTTTAAAGGGTAGGGCTTCAAAACTGGAACAGTTACCCCTTTTGCGCCAGTAACTGACTGCTTAGAGCTGTGTTTAGTGCTTCGTTGTGAGGAAAATAGGGTCCACTTCTCGGGATAAGACTTAAGATTTTTCGGTTGCTCTCAATATATCTCAAATGGCTAGTATTGTTATTTAAAATCTTGCCCATTTTGATGAACTCGTACACCTGATGGTGGCGTCATTTCCCCCCCAAAACTTATATATGCTCTATTGGTGTATACCAAGGGGGTTCGTAATGTGTTTTATATTGCTCTGATTTTGCGGAACTTTTTATATACGCTTAACCTAGAGAAATCAACCTTATAAAGTTTACAGACGGTGCAAAAGTGTGTCTACTTTTTGCATTGATCAGAATTATAACGAGCTGTGTTCTGAATAGAACACTGGACACTTCATTATATTTTCCTCAATCTTAAAAAACAGCGGTGTGTGATGCTTGGAATCTAATTCTTTTTAAATGATTTAGTGTGTCTTCAACTACACCTTACCACTTTGTGAAATGTAATTTAATTGTTTCTCCTGTCTCTTTGCTTAAAATCATGTATGTAGTTTGTGACTCTGTTGCAATTTGTCAATAATGTAGCACATCATAATTTCAATGAGCGTTTTAGTTTTATTACATTTTTACTCTTATGTGTTTATACGCCTCGAGGTGTGGAAGCTGGATACAAGAACAGCTGCAGTAGATTTTAGAGACGCCTGTTTTTAAAAAATAAAATGTATTTTTCCTTCTTCAGCATAATATATGTTTTAAATTAAATTTCAAGTGTGGCCTTGATGTTTTTTCCATGAATGATGGCATCACCTACGCAAAGTAGCAAAAGTCAATGGCATGCTCCCCCCCCCCCCCGTGAAGTTGTGCAAATGCTAGGTTATTGCTGAGCTGAAATCTCTTCAAAGTTGGTTGTAAGTAGGAATTTACAGCATGTCTTCTAATACTGCTGCACTGTAGACTCTAAATTTATAGAACCATGTTGATTAAAACTATATTCTTTATCTGTGTAAGCCACCTAGAGTACTGGCATGGCACTAGATGGGCAGGGAATTTTTTAAAAAAGTAATATACTTATGACTGCTTTTGAGATGTATTTGAAATATGAAGGGAATATGTTTCAACATAGAGCTTTTGAATAAATGAGGATACTGTTTTTTTATTTTAAAAATGTTGGCTGGAATTGTATTGGTGTTTGTGTAAGGTTTGTGTACCCTGTTGCAGCTAATTCTCAGGCATATCTTTGTTGTGCAGTCAGGTATGTGACCAGGCACAAGACTGAAAAGACATGACACATTTTCAAATAATTGTGACAAGCTACACAAACTGTACATGAACACCAGTAGGACTCTGGCCAGTGTCTGAGAGATTCTCTTTTTTGCGCATTCTGATTGCATGTGATTAATTTTTTCTTATTTATTCACCATCCCCTTTTTTAAAACAGGGATTCAAAATGACAAAGAAGAGAAAACATCAAGAAGATTTTCATAAGGTGAAGCTAAAAGTTGGGAAAAAGAAGCCCAAGCTAGAAAATGCAACTGATACCAACTTTAAAACAAGATCCATACATCTTCCTGAACAGCTTAAACAGGATAGAACGCTTCCAACAAATAACAGAAAACTTAATATAAAGGTATATAAAATTGCAAACTTTTACTGTTATTGTGGTTTATTATTCTTTATTATCTGTGGAAAATCACTGAGTCAAAATACTGTCATAGAATTTCCTCAGCCCAAATTTAAGTTGATGTTGCCATCTCATTTGCATAAACTTTGATTTGTAGGTTTTCAGAAGTTCATCATTGGTCTACTGGATCTTGTTGTAACAATAACTTAAAGACTAGTGATATTTTGATCAAAGGCCCACCTCATTTCCTCACATTGTATGAAGGCATTCTCCCTATTTTGTTATCATTTGCAAACAAATAAAGTTTTATTTATTCTTCCATGTCTGGTGGCTTTAACCCATTTTTTTCAGCTTTTGCTGTCATTGTCTGTCCACTGGTACAATTTTTTCCTGCTTGGCCTCCTTTGCTTCCAGTGTTTGTTTTACAGTATTAAGATACTCTGGTAATTTCCTTTTATAATTTTAGGAACTCACTTGACCTTACTATGGTTCTGCTTAGGAATTGGCTGTTTATTCCCTAACTTCTGTGGCTTTATTTTAGCTACACTCTTAGTAATGATTTTTCATTATTGTCCTTTATACATAAGCTTAAAAGATTGAACAGAAAAATAATTTTAATTGATCTCTAAATGGTTGGACGCTAAAACTAAGAATACAAAAATGTATATCAATGTGAAATGTATATCAATAGATTAGTTTTAGAAAATTGTGATGCAAAGGAAGATCAAAACAACAAATAACAGATAGTGTTTTCTTCTTCTTCTAGGATTTGCTTTCACAAATGAACCACTATAGTGCAGGAGTTAAACAGAATGCACTTTTTGGACTCAGAGATCTGCTGTCCCAATATCCATATGTAATTGATGCACACCTTTCAAATATACTGAGTGAGCTGGCAGCTGTATTTACAGACAAGGATTCTAGTGTACGTTCAGCAGCAATCTTCCTGCTCCAGTTCTTAGCTCCAAAAATAAGAGCAGAGCATATTTCTCCATTTTTCCCTTTAATAAGTGCCCATCTCTCCAGTGCCATGACTCACATCAATGAAGGAATTCAGGAAGATTCATTAAAGGTACTTGATATTTTGTTGGCAGAATACCCTGCTCTCCTGATGGATCGCAGTAGTGTACTGCTGAATAATTTTGTGGAGCTTATTTCTCATCAGCAACTATCAAAACAATTGAAAAACAAAGAGAAAATGTGCTGGATGTTGTCTGTTAATCCTAATCGTAGAGTAACTTCCCAACAGTGGAGGCTGAACGTACTTATCAGGCTCCGAAAGTTCCTCCAAGTGTTGGTGGAAGGAACTAGTGAATTAGAAACGGACAGTGAAGGACTACATGTACAAAATGACAGTCCCGAAGTTCAGAGGAGCGCTTTACATGTTATCTGGCAGGAACATGCAAATGGCCGAAAACCCATCCAGATGTATGAAAATGGTGGTGTGCATATGAGAACTGATTCCTCATTCAGGCTGAGGTAAGAAACTCTGCCTACAAACAATCTCAAGGTTCAACTTTTGACATTCATGTGAAGCAGAGTATGTATTTGCGGCTAAACAAAGTAATGTATAGAAGTTAATTGTGATAGTTTGTTACATTTCTTTTCAGATTTTAGGTTCACTGACTGAGATCCTGTTCTCGTAGCTATGCTACATAAGGCTGATAGCATCATATCCTTCTGTAGTGTAACTTATGGAATAGGAATTCAACCATTGAGGCTTAGCACTTCATAGGGAGGTTGCTCTTTTGGAAGATTAGATGTATGCGTGAGTGGCTAGGTACTTTAATTTAGGATAGCACTGTCTATCTAATTTGAGATTGGAATTGAAATATCATTAAAAACAAAGAGAATTTATGGATTTTTAGGCTAAATGCCACATTACCATCCCCAGAAAATAACAGAAAAACTCTATTTTTGAATAATCTGTTCTCTGATGCCAATATGTGGTCTTCCTTTTTTGTGTGATACAGTCTCTTTGTTTGCAGTTTTACTCTACTACACACCAGGGAGTGATCAGTATCGCAATCAGCACTCTGGTAACTGCATGTGATCATACCACTTGTGTATTCATAAGGGATTTGGTTTAGATTATACCTGAGTAGCCCAGTGGTTTTTCTTACTTTCTTCAGTTTAATTTTGAATTTTGCTATAAGAAGCTGATGATCAGAGCCACAGTCAGCTCCAGGTCTTGTTTTTGCTGACTGTATAGAGCTTCTCCATCTTTGGCTGCGGAGAACATAATCAATCTGATTTCGGTAATGCCCATCTGGCGATGTCCATGTGTAGAGTTGCCTCTTGCGTTGTTGGAAAAGAGTGTTCGTGATGACCAGCTTGTTCTCTTGACAAAACTCTGTTAGCCTTTGCCCTGCTTTGTTTTGATCTCCAAGGCCAAACTTACCTGTTGTTCCTTTTATCTCTTGACTCCCTACTTTAGCATTCCAGTCCCCTAGAATAAGAACATCTTTATTTGGTGTCAGTTCTAGAAGGTGTTGTAAGTCTTCATAGAATTGGTCAATTTCAGCCTCTTCAGCATGGATGGTTGGTGCATAACCTTGGATTATTGTGATGTTGAAGGGTCTGCCTTGGATTTGTATTGAAATCATTCTATTATTTTTGAGATTGTATCCCAGTAGAGCTTTTCCTACTCTTTTGTTGACTATGAGGACTACTCCATTTCTTCTACGGGATTCTTGCCCACAATAGCAGATAAGGTAATCATCTGAATTAAATTCACCCATTCCCATCCATTTTAGTTCACTTGATGCCGAGAATGTCAGTGTTGATAGGTTCATAGATCTTACATTCCAGGTTCCTATGCAGTATTCTTCTTTACAGCATCAGACTTTCCTTTCACTTCCAGGCATTTTCACAGCTGAGCGTCCTTTTGGCTTTGGCCCAACCACTTCATTAGCTCTGGAGCGACTTGTCCTTGTCCTCTGCTCTTCCTCAGTAGCATGTTGGACGCCTTCCGATCTGAGGGGCTCATCTTCCAGTGTCATATCTTTTAGCTTTTTGTTTCTGTTCATGGGGTTTTCTTGGCAAAGATACTGGAGTAGCTTGCCAGTTCCTGCTCCAGGTGGATTGCGTTTAGTTAGAATTCTCTACTATGACCTGTCCGTCTTGGATGTCCCTGTAAAGCAGAGCCCATAGCTTCTCTGAGTTACTCAAGCCCCTTCGCCATGACAAGGCAGCAGTCTGTAAAGGGGCAGCAATCTATGAAGGGGACTTATCTTGTACCAGTGTAAAAATATATGGGTTTTGGAATTGGGCAGGATTCCTTTCTGACCTTTTCTTTACTTTTAGTGTGATTAAATAATGGTATTTGTCAAATTTTTAACTATCTTAATTACTTTTAGCATTGTCTAGTTTTTATGTAGGTCAGAATTGGATTGCATAACTATTGTTACTTGGTCTTGTACAAGCTGTGGCAAGATTTAAACTTAGCTGGAAATCATATCCAGGTGTTAGTTCCATGGGTGTAGTTGTGCAGTCAGATATGTAGATTGGCCAGGTGTAACTTGCTGTGAAATTCCGTAGGTATAACTTTATGCTGGGACAATACAATAGGATTTTAGCCATTAATTTTTTGGTTAAAAGTTTGTTGATTCCAGTCTCTCAAATTGCCTGCTTTCAGTCCTCTGTTATGTTTGTTGATTATGCAGTGTTACTGTCTTTGAGTTTAGAGTGGCTCTTGTGGATAATTGTTACTTATTGCTTTAACAGACTTTTAGCTGTTCTGAGATTAAAAGCTATTGTAAAAACTGAAGTTTTGGTCTTTAGGTAAAGGTAAAGGTTCGCCTTGACAGTTTTTGTCCAGTCGTGTTCGACTCTACGGGACGGTGCTCATCCCCGTTTCCAAGCCATAGAGCCAGCGTTTGTCCAAAGACAATCTTCCACGGTCACATGGCCAGTGCGACTTAGACACGGAACGCTGTTACCTTCCCACTGAAGTGGTCCCTATTTATCTACTTGCATTTGCATGCTTTCGAACCACTAGGTTGGTCTTTAATGGTATGAAAATCAAGCATATATGCACAATTAATAGGAGATTACAGAACAGATAATAAACCATATGTATTTGAAAGTAGTTTTTTCTTTTTGTTATCTGGCTGATTTTTTATTTTCATGCTCAAATCTACTTCAATTTGATTTAATGTCCAACTTTTTGCACGTTTGAAAAGGAGGTAACATTAGGAGCGTATGTGTCCTTGTGAAAGGAGAAGCATAAACTGTTGGACGCATTATATTTCTCCTTTTATTGTGGTGTTGCCTTGTTTTATTACACCTGTTCTTCAAAACATTTGAGGGAAGTCAGGTGAATTTTATGTTTTGAAAATCCTTTCGTGCCACAACTCCCAGTTTATCGATGTAATGGCTGTGTTTTGTGCAATTATTAGCATTATTTCAATTCTGTGCTGGTATGTGCTACTATTGTACTTTAGGGCATGTACTTTTTGTACTTGTCATTGACCATAATAAAAAGTTATACTCATCATACATATTTCTTTAGAAGTATGTCCCACTGTGGTCACTGGCAGTTATTCCCAGGGCATTGTGAGTAGGGTTGTACGCTTACTTACAGTATGTTTGACATTGATCTCTGAAAAGTACTTTTTAAAAAGCACCTTTTTATCTCTGTTTTCAGGTCTCTGATTAGTATGTCCAACAGTGTTGAACAAGGCCTGTCATCCACTGACAGTCTAAAAAGATTTATTCAAATAATAATTCCATTGTTGCTTGATTGTTGGATTGAAGCGTCCCCTGCACAACTTACAGCTCCCATTATTGGAAATCTTCTGGAACCTGGATCTCAGCAAGTTATGGAGCAGGTACTTAGTATTATCCACCTGTTGTGGAAGCTTGCAAAGCAAATGGAAGATCCACATGAACTGGTAAGAAGCTATAATTTCTAAAGGAGTATGAGTAAATTATTCTTTTTTCCTCTTTTCATTTTTTCCTCTTTCCATTCAGTAAGATGAGTAAGAATGCACAAGTAACCTTCATATTAACTACTTTGGTAGATCTTTAAAATTCTTACATCACAAATGAATTTCAAGTAGTGGCATCATGTATCTGGAAAATACAGTGGTGCCTCACATAGCGATCACTTCGTTTTGCGATGAAATAGCTTTGCGACATATTTTTTGCGATCACTTTGCGATGTTCCCTATCGGGGAATTTCGCTTTGCGATGATCGGTTCCCTGCTTCGGGAACCGAGCATCGCAAAGCGACGATTTTAAAACTGCTGATCGGCGGTTTCAAAATGGCCGCTGGGTAAACAAAATGGCCACCCGCTGTTTTCTGGGACGGATTCCTCGCTCTACAGCCACCGAAAATGGCCGCGCTATGGAGGATCTTCGCTGAACGGTGAGTTTTAAGTTCATAGGAACACATTAATCAGGTTTTAATGCGTTTCTATGGGCTTTTTTATTTCGCATTGTGACGTTTTTGTTCTGCAGCGATTTTTGCGGAACGAATTAACGTCGCAATGCGAGGCTCCACTGTATACATCCTTTGTTTTTGTGTATGGGATCACAGAAGGAGAAGATATTAAATACTGTCTCATGTCCTAGAATATTAAATCTGACAATTTTAATTATAGAAATGTCTATCTAGCTGTAAAGTAACATGTTTTGGCAATATAATCATTTTTTTCTTGAAGACTATAGAACATAGTTTATATGAATGAGGGAGAATACATTACCTCAAACCTGTAAAACGTTATACAGTAATTCTCCTTGGAAGCTATTGATAAATTGATAAATGTTAACATGTAACTTCTTTGTGAAGTCACATGGAATGTTACATTTCAAAGGGTTAGGTAATGCTAAAGGCTGCCATCTGCTTTCAGCAGACTACAGATTTTGTAGTATAGCTGTTCTTGTAACCTTTCCATGGAATAGTACTGTACATGGAAAAGCTCTAATTTGGAACTTTTTCCTTTCATAAAGTTATTGATTAGAGAAAATTATTATCTTGGTTTATGTGACCCTTAATGTCAATTTCCTCAATAGGAAGTATGGCTTCGAGCAAATTACCTGACTGATTTCAGGCGCCATTTCATGTGTCATTTTCCTTATACTTTCCAAGAAACAATTAAGCATAGAAAGAAAGATTCCCTGAAAAGGTATGACTAAATTTGTTTGAAAAAGAGTGTGACAAACTTATGATATGTTGTCATTCAAGTGTGTAAGTGTATATATTCGTAGCAGATCTTACGTAAGAAAATCTGGGGATGTAGATCCAGGAGTCATAGCAAATAAAGCCACATACCTAGCTCCTAAGGAGGCAGTTTTTGCTCTCCCCATCACATTGTTCTCAAGGTACATCCTTGCTATCTATGAAATGGTAGGATACCTGGCTAAGTAGCATGAGTTAGCATTCATATAAGTACAGTGCCAATCAATCTGTTTCAGCAGTGTTTTTTAATTTCTGTTTTTAAGTATTCGGAATGAGTGTATATAATGTCTGCTTAAAATTTGTGTGTATTTAACTTCTGAACTGTTTGAGGAGGATAATTAAACTGAGAAGTTACCAATAAATGAATTTATAACAAAAATATTGTGGCACCTTGAAACCTAACAGATTATTTAGTGTGAATTTTTATGGATTATCATCTATTTATTCAGACAAATAGCTTTTTAAAATAGGAGCATGAGTATGAAATTGTTGGCTAGTGGTTATAGAGGTCTAAGAGGCTCTGTTTGTACTCTATAAACGTGTGTCTAAAAGCTCATACACATGGTGTGAAAATGGTGCATCATCTTTGCCCCTAGGACTTTCCATTTTCAAAGAGATGTTGCCTAAAATCCTGTTGGTGTAAATTGAGGCGGCACAACGTGATGACTGGGGATTAAGTACTGTAACTAAAAGCTTCCTATCCCCCCATTTTAGTATCTGGCACTCTGCAGGCCTACCTTTTGCCCTGGGGAAGGCTTGTGACAGGGAGGGGAAGCCATTAATTACAGAATATTGCTGCCAGATCTTACCTAAACTAAATTAAATTACATTTTACTGGCTTCCACCATGGAAATTTACACCAACAGGATTTTGCCCATTGAAGCTGAACATGGAAATCTATTAAACTCTCATGGATGATTGCAGTTTAACCTTTCCTTCAAAAATTTGCCAACCATGTTTAAAAAGATGTCTAACATAGTGGGCATCACCAGATATTGTTCATGCCTGTTCAAGACTTTTTTGGAAATTTAAGGGCTATGAAGCTGATAATCGTGGCTGTTTTTTATTGAAATGAGATTGTCAGTAATGAAATTTGTCACTCTAGGTTTCATGTTTGTGCGGTGTAATAACAGAACACATCATTCTGAGCAGGGAGCATTTGTGAAACTGATATGGTCCTTGCAGTTTTCCACAGCTCCCTTAAATATAATGGTTCCAGTTTTGCAGATTGATGCTGGGAATGCATTGTGAATTTTATTTGAGGTACATTGTGTCTTCAGTACTTTACAGCACTTGAAATCTTGAAAAACAGTGTTGCAAGCTTTATGAGGGGCCCTGTTACAATTGTGAAAGAGTTTGAGTTTGATTTGAATTTGCTTAAAGTATTACTATTCTCTGTGTCACTTTTTAGCAGCAAGTGTTACGTGCCATCTTCAAACAGTATTGACCCTCTTGTATTGAATTTAACCTTGTGTGAAATAATGGTTTCACTGGCAAGCGCTTCAACACTTCAGATGGATTCTCACTGGCTAGATATGATTAGAACCTTTGTGACAGAGACTCTTCAAGAAAGTTGCAAGTTGAACAGTAAGCAGTTGGACAAATTGCTCAGAGTGGCATGGAGACTTGTACAGATACAAGTAAACAAAGGTAAGATCTCTTGAATGTGTTTGAATGCTGTGAGTGTATTTTACATATTCCAGTTTGCTCGTTGTTTGCTTTAATCCAGAAGGTAAAAGAAATGCAGAAGTTGTCTATTTTAGTGTATTTACCTTGATAAGGTACAGATGTGATATTACTTGTTTTGGTAATGATGAGAAGATTATATCAGAACCTCTCTCTCCTGCTTTCAGTTTAGAAGTACTGTAATTATAGTTAGAAATGATATTGAAAGAAACTAATGGCAGGCTCTAAAATTTAATGCGTTAGTATGGGGCAAAAACTCACCGTTCAGCGAAGATCCTCCATAGGGGCGGCCATTTTCGCCGCCTCGATAAGCGAGGAATCCGTCCAGAAAACCGCGGTGGCCATTTTGGAACCGCCCATCAGCGTCAGTGACAGCCAGTGAGTTTTATGTTCTGAAAATGAAGAACGATTTAGGAAGGTTGCAATGTTTCAAATAAATGTTGCAAGTTGCTTCAAGTGATGTGCACAGTATTGTGAATGTTCTCATTGTCAGCAAAACAGTCCACTCCATTTCCCCACATACGTTTCCAGAAAGGTAGATTAAATTTTGATTTTTTTAAAAATTTGCAGCCAATAAGGGGAGAAGACAGAATATGTGCTGGTAGGCCATGAAAATTAGATAACAAGGATATTTTGCCTAGAGAGGTTTTTGTTTGTTTGTTTTTAGAATGTAAGAGGGGTTTTTGGTGGCAGAGAGTGGCTGAAATCCTGTTACGTATCTTACATTCATTGAATTGTAATTACTTCACCAACAGGGATCCCTTTTTTCCTCTTGCCTAACTTACACCTGTGGAAGGTTGATGACATCACTGGCAGGGAGCAATTTTTGATAATTAAAAATCTCCTATTTTTGGCTTCTGGCTTTTCCAATTCCTGTGTAATCCCATTTGACATGAGGAAGTTGTGGGGACCACAGGACAGAAGAAGCAATTCTTTTATTACTAAAAATCACTGCCATCAGATGATGTCACCAGCTGAGGGAGATTTTTGATAATTAAAATATTTATTCATTCCATTCTCTGGCGTCCATGTGAAAAAAAGCTGTGGGACAGAGATAGGAAGTTTTAATTACCAAAAATTACTCCCTGCTAGTGATGTCATTAACCTTCCACAAATGTAAGTTAGGCAACAGGATTTCAGATACTGTATTTGAAAAAGGTTTAACACACCTTTTCAAAAGCAAAAATGACACATTATTGGATCCAGACCTAGTCACATCTAGGATGGATTGACTGAAATAACTAAGACTTCAGTTCATATAATGCAGAGCTTAGCATCTGATTGGAGGTGAATTGTTCATTTAGGCACGCTAGTGAACATTCCCAATCATATTGTAAATGAAAATTGGATAGGATAGGAATTCTTCCAGACAGCACAGTGTGCTATATTTTAACTGGATTTTCATAAGTAACTTGTGTAGTGATTATAGTTCTCCCCCCTTGAACTTAAAAGTTTTTCCCCATATTTCCAAAACATGTTTTTGTTTAAAATTTAAGAATGCTTTGAGATATGAAGACTTGCTACAATGCAGTAGCCCTCCCCTACACACACTCCTACATGCATCACATTACTGTGTAATATAATTGTGATTTGTTCTAGACATGGTGTGGTTTGCTGCCAAGAGGTGGCTCTGTAATGCACTGCAGATCATATAAAGTGTCATATATCAATTTTATTTCCCTCTTTAGGTTCAACAGAGATTCTCATGAAAGCAGTATATTCATTGTACCAGCAAAGAAATCTTCCCTTCCCTGTTCGCACATTGCTTCTACATTTTTTTAGCAGAGCGTATCAAAAGGAAGAGTCGAATCCACATGCAACCAGGTGACTATTTCTTCATTTCAACTAAAGCTGGGGTCGCAAACCAAAATTAAGGACTTTTTTTTGAGATTTAGATAAAGCTTTTAAAGAATTGTTTTTTTGTTTTTTTGCAGCTAGTAATGAATTTTAAATGTGTGCTTTTCATTATGTATCTAGCAGAATATTTATATGCCTGTTTGGGGTTGCTGACAAAGATATTATATGAGTAAAGTTTTTGTACCTGTCTTTTTTTAATTGGGTAAAAATAGTAGTTGGGAATACTGTGTTCTTGAAGACAGACTACAGTGGACCCTCGACTTACAGACAGCTCGACTTACAGACTTTTCAAGTTACAGACTTCTCTGGCTGCAAAATTTAGGTTCGACTTGAAGCCGGAGAATCAACCTACAGACCAGAAAAATCCCAAAATGGAACAAAAACGGCCGGTTACAGGATTAATTGGTTTTCAATGCATTGTAGGTCAATGGAGACTCGAACTACAGACTTCTCAACCTGCAGCCACCGTTTCAATACGGATTAATTTCGTAAGTAGAGGGTCCACTGTATTTCCTACCCAGGAAGAAAGAGCAGACAAATTGCACTAATCCTGAACTGAAATAAGTGAACTAATGGAAGGTGAAGATTTATGTCCACAAGGAGAATAAGACATTCTTTTGTTCTTCTCTGAATCAAAAATTATACTTGGTATAAATTTAATTGCAGTTAGACCTCAAAAAAACTTTGTTCACAACAATTGAGGGGATGATTACTGTTGCCAGTGATCAGCAGTGGTTTGATGATTGTTTCTTTCTCCTGATTTCCTTCAAGTTTCATTTTTTAAATCACATAGACGGCAGTATTCCTTGTGACAACCATCATATTTCCCCTCTCCATATATGTAGAACAATGCATTGTGTCGTGTCAGAATTGTGTCATGAATGTGGAATAGGAGCTACTGAGAGGATTGCTGCTGCAACAGAAATGTGAAGTTAAAGACAGAAAATTAAATGCAAACACCTGGGAACTTTTCTGACCTATCCAGCTCCTCAAATCTGAGAACTTCCCTTAGAAATCTCCACATGAAAATATGGTGAATTAAGGGGTGAAGAGGATTATGGTTTTCATCTTTGAGCAATGGTTCCCATTATTTTAAATAAAATCTATGTATGTGATATTACTTTTGTTCTCTCCCATGTCCTCCAGAAGCAGAAGTAAAGTATTAATTCGTTGGCTAGCTGGTCTGCCTCAACAACTTGTTCTACTTGGCTTGAGAAACCCTGAGCTTTCAGACCAGTTGATAAGTACTATTTATTCTGCTGCATCTCGGTCAAACAAAGAAATTCTCCAGAGTTTACAAGCTGCTGCTCCTCGGATTTATGGTAACCTTTTTGTGGAAGTTTATGCTAAAAGTAGGGACCATAAGCATGTTTGTTTTCTAAGTGAACCTAGGTGGTATTAATATTTGACACAGCGTCAGCTTCAAGAAACCAAACTGCACCTCACAGTTCTTTCTCTCTTCCCCCAGCAAACAAAAGAAATAAAATCTTTTCAGGTCAAGGCAAGCTAAACTACTGGTTTTAAGTGTCATAATAAACAGTATAAAAGTAAATAATGAATATTTATTTTATTTTCTCTGAGTCCTTCTTGTGGGTTCTGCACTTGTGCAGTGTAATAGGCTGAATTTTCTAGCAAGAGGTGCAAGAGTTATGAGAAGCCTTTCCCCAACTGCCCATGTTCATCATCAAAGAAGTGTGGCTTCTGCCTTCCTGTTCAGTTCCTTCTTGACTGCCGTAGCTGGAACATTCTAATTACATCAAGTAGTGCTACATATGTTTTTTGGAGGAGCTGGACTTTTTTCTACCCTTTACTGTGTTCTCCCTAATAATATATGTTTCTTTAGTACATTTGTACTTTGTTTCATTTTGATCCTTTTTATACCAAGGAGTTCACTTTCAAAGCCCCCTCCTTCCTATCTTACAGTAGCTGAATATTATTATGGCTATTCTGACTTCACTGTGAGCAGATGCTCCAGTGCAGTGGGCACATTTTAGGAAGTGGTACTGATTACCTCTCCCCACTGGTCTAACTACTGCATCCATTTTTGTGGTTAGAGGCACACAGTGCCACCGTTGCTAGAATTTTACCAAACAGGCATATCAAAACTACTTACTTTGGCTACAAGAGATGCTTTGAGAGAAAGCCCTCTTGGCAGTGAATGTTGAGACCAAAGTACCCAGATCCTTGCAACTTTGGTTCTGTTCTTCATGTACTTCAATATTGTTTGGAACTAGCTAGATAAGCACCTGGTCAGAGGTCTTGATTGGGTCCATAGAAATCCAAGATTAAGCAGTCCTCCTATTTTGCTACTTCAGAACTACAGATTATGATGGTGAAGAAGAAAGACAATCCTGTTTCTAAGGAACTTCTACTTCAGTGATTTCCAGTCCAGTACATGTAACTTCTCTGGTTGCAATTTCTCCCTAACTCACCCTAGAAAGAGTGAGAGGTTCATCCTTTATTTAGTATTGGTTCTGTATGTCCAAGATATAATGTTTCAAATGAGATTGAGGCCATCAAATTAACACTAAAAGTGGCAACACCCAACTCAAACAGTAGTTTCATGATTTTTTAAAATTCTAGTGCTGGGACTTGTCATAGTATAGTTCCTTGCCATGCTTTATTTATACTGCCCCAGGACCTTTGAGTCGTGGTTTTTAAAGGCTCATGAATCACCTTGGCTACAACTACATATGTGACTCAGATTGTTCCTGGATCCACATTACTATGTTTGTTTTTGATTCCTGTCTTAATTCTGCCAGCAATGCCGGTTTTTAACCAGATTGCTTCAAGAGAGAGAGAAAGACAGGTTTTTCTTGTGATCTGAAGCATGGATTTTATCAGAGGATGCCCAAAATTTTATAGATCAAGAGACTGACAAATAGAGAAGTGCAAGGCAAGTAAATAAACACCAAGAAATGGTAAAATATATAAAATGCACAAGGCTGAATGCTGTGATTATGCTGTGAGATGCAAACAATCCAGATTAATACAGTTAATCATTCAAAGTAAATGAATGAGGAAGAAATTTAGGAAGGGGAACTTATTGGTTAAAGAAGCCTTGGTGATGTTTTTGGATGTGAGGCAGCATAATCATTTAAAACCTATTGGTGCAAACTGCACTACAGCAGCCAAAACTCTGCTTACATTTGGAGTTCAGTCCCAGGTAGCCGGCTCTAGGTTGACTCAGCCTTCCATCCTTCTGGGTCAGTAAATTGAGTGCCCAGCTCTCAGGATAGAGCCTCCATAATTGAACTGTAAACTGGCCAGAGACAGTTTTAAGCACTATGGGATGATATACAGTATAAGCAATACACTAAAAAATAAACTGTATCCAAAATGAAAGTTTGGAGAGTAACAAGAACAAGCAGGTGTCTGTGCTGTAATTTGAGACTATGGATATTCCTATAGGTATGCTGTGAACCATTGGTCTTATGACTTTTTTAAAAAACTGGAGATGCTTCATCATGCTTCTCTCACAGGACAGTATCATTGATAATCAGCATGTGATACCTATGGCCTTTCATACTAATAAGGCCCTTCTGTTCCCTTACACAGTACCATCTGCAATCTAGATACAGAAGTGGCTCCTGCTGTGGGTAGAGCTAGTCTCTTTTTCATTTCCTTCTTTGGCCCCTTTCTCATGATTTGTGCCTTCCTTATTCTCACCTGCCGTGACTTGTATCACTACTGATCTTGATATAGACATCAGTATCTTTTTCGGGTTTGATGCTACCTGTACGTGATGTGGTACTCATATCTTTTTGGCCTTGGTTATGTTTTCGTTAAAGAGGTTGATCTTTAACTGGGTGCCAAAAATAATTTATTTTTTCTTCATTTTACACATTGCACCCAACTCTTCACCCATAGTCAGTGTTGAAAATTAGATTTCTTTCATCCATAGAGGTTACCATGGCTTATGCTTTGCCTGCTCAGGGTTCACCTGGAAATCAAGCAGTTCTTCCACTTCTGAAGAGCATTCTTGTTAGTAAATACAGATCCTGCTGAACTTGTCAGCAGTCTTGTTTTGCCCACTTTGACCCAGATTGCTGTACAGAACACTGTGTCCTTCGTTTCCTTGGGCAAGTTGGGAAATTTTATCTTTCTAAACATGGATGACTGGTAGTTTACCATGTCTGCCTATAATCAATTGATTGGCCAAGTTATATTTATACTTTGTTCACTCACACTGTAATGATCTGTGTTAATATGATGGAGTCTCGCTTGACACATAATTAGTGGTTTTCTAGATGTTCTGGATGGTGTATTTGCCCTACAGAACTCAAACATAAGGTTTGCTACCAACGTGATTCTTGGACCTGGTCTCATTCTTACCTCAACCATCTGTGTTTCACAGATCTGTTGGTGCAGGAGTCATGGATGGGATGGGAGCTTAAAACTTTGGGAGCATTCAAGATTTCTCTGTGAATTCAGGACTCTCAGTTGTCTACCAACATTATGACCTTGTGTTTTATATCAACATGAGTATAAATTATCTCACCATCTCACCTACACTGTGTGTTGCTCTCATGAGAAGACTGTCCCATTATAAGCATTTTTCTTAATTCACAGATGGGAGACAACACATCTAGTCATTTTGCCCTTCAGAAAAGTCATGGAGGTTTGTCACACAACAGAGTTGATATTCTTACTGTCAGCTGTACGTTGTGTCTGATATGTCCCCACTCCATTTTTCAGACCAGAGTATTGGTCTTGGAGACAACTGTAAGCTAAGGAATAGTTGAATCTGAGCCTGTGATTGTTTAGCTTAAAGCAACTGGATTTCTTTTTCCTTCTATTTTATATAATAGCTTCTCAGTGGTTGAAATCCTGTTGCACTTGGTGTAGGATAAAGTTACACCTGTTGAAGTTCCCATGGAGTTATGCCCAGGCGGTCTGTGTGTCTCGTTACATGACTAGCTAGGCAACTATCTGGGCTACTGCACCTGTGGAATTGCTTTCTGGATACAACTTTTGCCTTGGTACCAATCTTGCAACACCTTCTACAACTTCAAATTGTGCATGAGTAGCTATGCAAGAGGGTTGGAGCTGTAGTTTCATTAGCAAGTGCTTTGTGAGTTTCTTTTGCATCCCATCCTTATCCCAACTCATTTTTGTTCTATAATTATAGTGGCAGTCTGTTAGAAACTGAACAGGAAATCATGTCAAGTTACTCATGTGTACTGAAGGTTGATAGTAGCCTTTCCACCAAAATCATCAGAAGCAGTCTTCTCGATCCTGCCACCTTAACAGATGTGTTTGGTGGGGACATAGGAGAGAGCCTTCTCTGTTGCTGCTCCCAGACTACTCTGGAACACCTTCCCACAGGAGGCCAGACTGGCCCCATCTGTCCTTCTTCAGGCAGGCGAAGACCTTTCTCTTCAGGCAAGCCTTCCCTTGATTACTGGCTGTCTGAATGGTTTTTTAAAAAAATGGATTGTTGTACCTTATTGCATTGAATGTGTGTTGGTATTGGTTGTTGTGGGTTTTTCAGGCTCTTTGGCCGTGTTCTGAATGATGTTCTTCCTAACGTTTCACCAGTCTCTGTGGCCAGCATCTTCAGAGGACAGCACTCTAAAGATGCCGGCCACAGAGACTGGTGAAACGTTAGGAAGAACAACATTCAGAACACGTCCAAAGAGCCTGAAAAACCCACAACAACCAATACCAACACACATTCAATGCAATAAGGTACAACAATCCATTTTTTTAAAAAACCATTCAGACAGCCAGTAATCAAGGGAAGGCTTGCCTGAAGAGAAAGGTCACCCACAACAACCATTAGATGCTGGCCGTGAAAGCCTTCATGAATACAATGTGTTGGTATTACTTATGTTTCTCATACTGTATTCATTTGATCCTGTTACTATTGTATAATCATTGTTATTAACTTAAATACTGTCTTTTAATTGTTGTAAGCTGCCTTGGATTCTTTTTAAGGAGAAAGGCAGGTTAAAAATATTTTAAATAAATAAATCAAATTTGCCCAGCATTAAAAGATACTGAATTATGCTCTTAAGCTATATGTGTCTATAGATGTGATCATTAAAACCACTATGCTTTAGGGTAAAAAGCTCTGTCTTTTGCTTCTCTAGTGCTGTATAGAAAAACGAAAAAAACGGAAATACTGTTTATGACATAACATGCCTTAAAATAACTTGTTTCTTGAACTTTTCTAGACCCACTAGATGGCACTGTGGTTCTTCTGCCAGCAGAATCTCAGCAACGTTTAGTCCAGCTAGTCTACTTTTTGCCTCATTTGTCAGGCAATCTGCTTTCCTCGCTCAGTCGCTGCTGCATTATGGGAAAACTTTCTGTAAAGTTATCCACCACTCTTATTGGGATACTGCATATGAAGTAAGCAACTATTGCACTTTTGTTGAACAAATTTGACTAAAGATAGTGATAGTAGATTAGGTAGCATGGATTGAACCCAGGTCATGACCAGAGGTTTGGCTGCAGTACTGTGCCAGAATACATCACTTCTGAGTTATTTATACTTTGGAAACTTCAGCAAGGGTCATCATAAGTTGGAATTGACTTGAAAATACACAATTATTATAATCATAAGATTTCACTTAATATTTTTGGTCTTAAGTACAGGCCCTTATAAACACTTTTATGAAGAGTTTGCAGGCTGGCAGTTTCTTTGAATGGTTTCAGACTGTACAGTATGTAGCAGTGCTGTCGGTGGTGCAGGTACTATACAAAAATGTACAAAACCAAGTGGTTGCAGTAGATCATTGTGAGTGCCCTCTCATTTCACCACTTCCATGCCCAAATAGAACCCCAAGACATTTGACTTAATTGTTGGAATGTTAGGAGGGGGTAGGGCTCCTAAGCCTGCATGTCCATGCAGATTGATTCTTCAGTCCATGGAACTAATCCCTCTGCAGGGAGACAGAATTACTTGTGTGCATAAGCCAACATCTTACTCACTGTCCATGGAACTGATCCCTCTGCAGGGAGACATAATTACTTGTGTGCATAAGCCAACATCTTAACATCTTGTCTTTTTCCTCTGGAGCATGTGGTATTGTTTCTACTGAAAAAATTAGAATAAATCACGTTTTTCCTAAATTTAGTTCACAGGAATTTGTTTTGAACAAAAAAAATGTCAGTGTTCCTTTTTGCTTTTTGTAAATTGGGGGGGATCACTTATTTTTAGAAAAAAACTGTTTATGTATTTGGATAAAGAAATGTCAAATGAATCATTGAAAGTAATAGTTTGTAATGTTCCAGACTGTATGAATAGTTATCAGTCTTTGACTGAAAGAATAAGATACTGTATATGTATTAGCCAATGCGTATTAACTTTGTCAGTAGATGGCACTCTCTTTCTTCTGAAAAAATAGCCTTTGTTTGCATGGGGGTGGGAATACATTTGGTGTTTTGTTTACATCCAAATATCCTTCAAACGTTTTCTGCCTTTTTATACAATTATGAATGAGTTCTACGTAATAGCATAATTGATTCTTCTGGTGTATAGCTATTGTTTCTGAAAAGAACTTCTTATCTCTTCCATATGCACAAAATGTTCAGGAGTTTGAAATGTCTACATTGTAAACGTAAGAAGTTTAGTTTAGTGAGAATATAACAGGTGATCTAGACTGAAGATTTAATGCTGAGGGCCAGCTTTGTTCTCTTATTCCAACTAATATCAGCATTGTACATATGCATAATAATAATAGCATGCATTCAAATCATTCCTGACATACAGAAAACCTTTCCAGGCTTATCTAGGTATATCCTATACTTATAAGTGCTCAGACCTGGTTTACCATTCCCTTCCTGTAAGGCATTCTGGAATTGTGCAGCTCTCCCAAGGCTACACAGCATGATTCTTCTCCTGGGAGGCACAATTAGGAATCAAACTCTAAACTTCTGGTTCTGCAGGATGTACTTAACTTATTGAGCTATCCATCCAGCAAATACACTATCTGCATAGCACATACATTTTTACTAATGTAGTAGTTTTTAGTTTACAACAACTAACAGATCACTAGGGTCATTATAATTCCTAACATTTTTAGAAGTGGCTGTTTGGGAACGGATCATTTTATTGCCAAATCTTTTTCATTGCCTTATAAAGTTTCATGATGTATTTGTTTTAAATATTTTCACTGGTGACTGATTTATCTTTGGCAATTCTAATAAGGATATTTTAACTGTGTAGGTAATATGTATACATTGTATTTCACCAGCAGTCGCTAGAAATTCAGTTGTGATTCTTACCCGTCAGAAATAGTTGCAGTTCCCTTGGGTTATGCAAGCTGAAGAAACTATGGAAGAGATGCCAGGAGGGAGGCAAGCCAATGGGTTATCCTTACAGAAGAACGTTCAGTATTTTTATCCTATTCCCTGCTTGCTTTTGAGTCTTAAACAGAGTGATTTCCTGGCTTCTGCTGAGAATAGCATCTTATGTATCCTACCAGAATTTATTACTTCAGAACTACTGAAGATATATCCACACTGCTTCTATTTCCATTTACTGGCTTTCAAGAGAGAGGATTCAACAGAGGTCATTTTTGCTTTTGTTTGTAGTGTAGTTGTTAAACCAGATTGCTGCTGTTTGTGACAGAACCCTGTTTAAGATAGTTTAATTCTTCTGTGTAGGAGAAAAATGTATCTAAGTTGGCTCTCTTTTGTTTTTCAAAAAAATGTCATAGCAGTTGGTAGGATCCTTTTTAATTATGCTGACATGATAATAACATAAAATAATAATATTGTACCCACTTTTTGTTAAATAGGTCTGCTTTTGTGGGATGGAAGTATCCAGTGCAAAACAGTTCAGTGCCTGACATGGATTATTTCAGCTTCTTGTTTTCAACTCTTACAGGTAATCTGTGTAAATGCAATAAATTTGCTTTCAGTTTAATGCTGTATTCCTTTCCTTGAGGGAAATACCATATAAATTAGATTAAAGATGACTATTCTGTACTATTTGCAGAAGGAATGACTAGACAATTGTATAAAGGTCAGAGGTTAAGAAGCAGTGGTGATAAAGCAGATTTGTAATGGTATTCTATATTCACCCACATATCATTAGATTTCAGTGACATTCATTTTCTTTTTTAAACCCAAATGGATATTTGAAAAGTGCCAGTGGCTACCATTTGAACCTTCTGGCCTGAATGTTCTGTTTTAAGCTCTCTTGAGATGTTTTATTTCCATGTGGCATGACAATACTACAGCTGCGCTGTATGGTTGTCATTTTGTTCTGTGCAAAACACACAATAACCATCCATGTACTTTTAATACACTGAAGTTTCTGCATTTTTCCCCAGACTGCTGATCCGTCTCAGAATGTATAATAGAGGAATGTAAAAGCTCAACAGTATTCTGGGACTCCCAAAAGACCTGAAATAAGCATGGTTGTCAGTCCCTAGTCTTACAAATAGAATGAGATTGGTTATGCTATTGAAATAATTCTAGCAGTCCTGTACCGTGTAGGTATTTACTGATTGCCCTGGTAAATTGTTCCTGCTGATCTGCACATATTGATTTTGGGTTTCAAATCCACTTCATCCTTAAAATCCTTCCTCCAAACTTTTGGTTTAGGGCCTTCTTGTATGCCTAGGATCCCATACTGTTTCTGAAATTTTTGTGAATTACTATTTGTCAATGTTATTCACAGCTTTTGTTAATTCTTAGCTTCTTGAGAACATAAGAAGAGCCCTGTTGGATCAGTGCAAGGGCCCATCTAGTCCAGCTTTCTGTATCCCACAGTGGCCTCACCAGATGCCTCTGGGAGCACATGAGACAACTAGATACCTGTCTCCTGATACCACTCCCCGTTTTGAAGCACCTTCCTTTTACGCCTGGAGATTATGCATCCCCATCATGGCTTATAACCTGCGATGGACTTTTCCTCCAGAAATCTGTCCAATCCCCTTGTAAAGGCATCTAGGGCAGATGCCATCACCACATCCTGTGACAAGGAGATCCACAGATTAACAACACGCTGGGTCAAGAAATAATTTCTTTGGTCTGTTCTCACTCTCCCAACACTCAATTGGAGTGGATGTCCCCTGGTTCTGGTATTGTGTGAGAGGAGAAAGAGCTTCCCTCTAGCCAATTTATCCATCCCCTTCATAATTTTACACGTCTCAGTCATGTCCCGCTTAGGTGCCTTTTCCCTAGACTTAAGAGCCCCAAGTGCTGTAGCCTTTCCTTATAAGGGAGGTGCCCCAGCCCAGTAATCATTTTAGTCACTATCCTCTACACCTTTTCCAGTTTCACCATGTCTCTTTTGAGGTGCAGTGACCAGAACTGTGTGCAATACTCCAGGTGCGGGCTTATCAGTGTAATGTTGGCTGTTTTATTTTCAGTCCCATTTTTAATGATTACCTAGCATGAAATTGGCCTTCTTCACTGCTGCCGCACACTGAGTTCACACGTCCATCAAGCTGTCCACCAGCACACCAAGATCTCTTTCCTAATCTGTCACAGACAGCTCAGAACCCATCAGCTGATAAATAAAGTTTTGATTTTTTTTTGCCCCAATGTGCATTACTTCACATTTTCTTATATTGAAATGTATTTGCCATTCTGTCACCCATTCTCCCAGTTTGGAGGGATCCTTCTGGAGCTCTTCACCACCCAGAAAAGTTTTGTGTCATCTGCAAACTTGGCCACCTCACTGCTTCTCCCTGTCTCCAGGTTATTTATGAACAGGTTGAAAAGCACTGGTCCCAGGACAGATCCCTGGGGCACACCACTTTTCACCTCTCTCCCACTAACACCTACTCTGTTTCCTGGTTCTCAACCAATTCTCAAGCCATAAGAGGACCTTTAGTTCCTCTTTAATTCTTCCATTGCCTCATGCCTTCTTATAGTGTTTTCTCTTGATCTGGTTTATCAACTTTGGCAAGCTTATTAAAGTAATACAAATATCACCGCCATAACGGAATTATAGTTTTCCATAATCTGGAAAGTTGTCCTTAAGACTTGATATAGAATTATACATATAAGGAAGGTGGATAAAGGTACAACTTCAAAATAACAGTCAGTTGGAGAGTTAATTCTAAATGTGTTGTAGGCATTGTGTCTGTGACCTCTATCAGTTTTTTTTTGTTTAAATGCTGATCAACTAGCCAGTCTCATCTGATTTTTAAGAAGTTATTTATGTACAGTGGACCCTTGACGTACGCACAGCTCAACGTGCGTACTTTTTGAGGTACGGACTTCTCCGACCACAAGATTTCCAGTCGACTTGTGGCCGGAGAATCGACCTACGGACCGGAAGAGGGAGGTGGGGAAAGTGCCATATTCAAATTTAGCACTTTCCTGGCCTCCCCCTTCCTGTCCGTAGGCTGCCGTGCCTCCGGAGGCCTTTCAGGGCTTCTCCGCCGCCATGGGAGGCCTCTCAGAGGTCCCCCGCCTCCGCAGGCTTTCCCAAGGTGGACCAAGCCTACCAAGGGAGGGCTTCCCCCAGTAGGCCTGGTCTACTCTCCAGGCTTTCCCGGGCAGTAGACCGGGCATACCGGGGGAAGCCCTCCTCGGGTAGGCCTGGTCCACTCTGGGAAAACCTGCGGGGGCGGGGGACCTCTGACAGGCCTCTAGCAGCGGTGGTGAAGCCCTTGGAGGCCTTGGGCAGTGGCAATGGCAGGGGACCGCTGGGAGGCTTCGGAAAGGTGAGGTAGTTATTTTCATTCTGTGTGTGTGTGTGTGTGTGTATCTTGGGCCGAGGGTTTCTTGGGCCGGTTCTGGATTAAATGGTTTTCAATGCATTCCTATGGGAAATGCATTTTCGACCTAAGGACTTTTCGACTTACATACACCGTTCCAATACGGATTTATTTTGTAGGTCGAGGGTCCACTGTATAATGTACATACACCGTTCCAATACGGATTAATTTTGTAGGTCGAGGGTCCACTGTATAATTTAAAGGTTCACAGCAAGAAGAGGATTGTCTTTAAAATAGGAACAGCAGAATGAGAGATCAGAACAGAACTTAACATTGTTTTATTTTTTATGTTTTATTCAGTAATGAATAATGGGTGTCTAATGAGTATGGCATACCTACAGCCATTTTTAATATGAGGCACACTGTAAAACTCCAGTCAGGACCTGAAGCACTACAAAATGAAGACTGTGATTAGGAAGCTTTAGATTTAAAAAAAAATCAGAGCAGAAAATGCTTTCAAAATTGAATATTTTCAAAAGCAGTTTGTGATTAGGCAAAGGAGAATTCAGCTATGTAAAAAGGAAGATGGAGGAATGTCACCAGCTGTGAGACTAGCACTCCTTGCAGGAACTGAGATAGTGGTTGTTGGCTGTGCTGAATTTTGACTAAATTATGCACAAAAGCTCATTTATTCTCATGTTGAACTAAATGGTGCTTATTATGTACACATTTAATTTTAATTCAGTTTGAAATTAGGAGGGCCTATGAGTGTTTTTCTGGCTAGTGAGTTAGATATCTGTCTGCAGGGCCAGAGGTTGGAGTTCAATTCCCCATTGTTCCTCCTAGGTGAAGAGCCAGCCTGTGTGGCCGTGGTCAAGCTGCACAGTCCTAGGATGCCCCCAGAAGGATGCCCCCACTTCTGTGTATTCTCTGTCCAGAAAACTATTAAAATGGTCACCACAAGTCAAAATTGATTAGACATCATGTTGTTGTTGTAATGGTGGTGGTGGTGGTTGCTTTCAGCTGAATCACAGAGTAGTGATGCTAGCATACGTACCTCGTGTTTAAATCTTTGTTTCATTTAAATTTTAAAACATTCCAGTTTAGACTTATGGCCTTGTGTACTTTTCAGTTTGTTTCATGAATGCAAGCCTATGGATAGAACATATTAATGAATGCGCTCAAAAATAACAGAACAAAGATTCACTTAGAGGTTTGCTGGTAACTGCTTTTTGCCCAACCTTTTCCAGGCTTTTCCAAAGAAGAATTGGCAAACCTTCAGAGTATTAGAGGAAGACCACACATTAGCCAAACACAGCTCTCTCCTGTCCAACTCTACTTGACAGATCTGGACCAGTTTTCGCATCATTGGGCTGTGACAGAGGTAATGCCATCACCACTGAAAATGCCAAGTATTATTGCTATTAACCCTTCCTAAAAATGAAATGTAGACTTTCTACTTAGTGGAAATGTTCCCCAATAAAATGCATTTGATAAGTTGCTCATCAGAGTGATAGGATGATAATTACTAGCTGCAAGTGACATGTCAGCGTACCTTAATTTCAGGATAGTTACTGTACAACGTATGGGAATTCTGGGTAACAGCTATCAAAAACACTTGTAATTGTTTACACATTTTCCCCAGAAGTCTGTTTGTCACTAGCAATCTGTGCACCTTACTCCCTGCACACTCAGTCAGTACTGTTGTATAGCTTTTTGGTCTAGCAGATGGACATTGTTTTGAAGTTGCAGATATATCAACCATCAAGTGATTATTTGACACTAGAGAAGGGAAATTCACTTTGGCCATATAATCTGTTTTAGAAAGATGAGGAAATTAAGAATGTAAGAATTTTGACAAAGAAAGTTCTATGTTCCTTACACAATAGAAAAGCAAAAGCAGGTGATCACCTTTATTAAAAGTCAACTGATGGCTGGGCCAAAGTTTATTCCCAATCCTCTGATGGTGGTTTGCCACATTTCTTTATAAACTCTTTCCCCAGCCATATAGAAAACTTGAGTGTCAAAACAAGGTAATGGGGGGAGGGGGAAATGCTGAACATCGGACAACTCTTTTGTTTGAGTTAGGAAAGAGTGTCCAGATTATGGTCACTGGGGTGGAATTTGAAACCTGCATTTTGCAACTTACTTTTAAGAAACAGACCTGGGATGGACATCTGCCTTGCCTTTTGGGACTTCCATATGTTTTTTTTTCTGCACTATCCACAGTATATTGGTGTACAGCTGGGTAAAGACTGGTATAGGTAAAAAACTAGGCTTTTTAATTTTTTTGGTGGTCAAATAAAGATATTACCTGCCCTTGCATGAAAATCCTGAATTTCTAATACAGAAGTGATGGACAAACTCCCTTAGTAACCTTTTGGCGAATGTTTTCTTGATTCCTGCCTTTTGAGCAAAATGTTTGTTTTTTGTTTTTGTTTTTGTTTTGTTTTTTCTGACAATCAATAGAAGGCGGCAATGCTGGGAAATTAGCTTTTCACTCTTCTCATTTTTACTACATGTTGATAGGTTTTGTCACAAGTAGATTGGGTTTGAATGTGGCTCTGGGGTAATAAGAGTGACATTGCATTTGGCTTGAGCTACATAGTATTCAGTTCACTACATAGTTCGTTGCCATTTGGGAGTTACTTTGACTTTGTTAGGTGTACTGGTTCAATGGCGAACCAAACACTGTAGTGTAACATTCTCCTTTCATCTAATGAGAGATTCCACCTTATTGGAAGCCGCCCAGAGTGGTCGACCACACCAGATGGGCGGGATATAAATGAAATAAATAAAATAAAATAATATGTGGGATACATGTACATTACAGACACACCACTGTGTTGATAGCACAGTATCCTAACCATCCATGTTTTCACATCTTCCTGGAAAGTACAAACATTTGAATTATGTATTTCTAAAATCTGACCTGCAGCTAAGTGAAGTGGCTTGGGTTTGACTTCAGTACTTCTAAAGAGCATTGTGATTCCTTATGTTAGATATTACCAACTGTATGGGAAGAACGTGGTGCTGTCAGGCTGTATCTGATAAAATGATATAAGGGTATGTTCTTTCAAAGTAGTGCTTCCAGGTGATAGGGGAGGTAATGCAAATTAAACTTTTGAGTCTCCTAGCCATTGTCCTCAGAGCAGTTTTTCAGTGAATTCTCATATCAATATTACCAGTGGCTTGAGTTTTTCAAAGCTGCTGTAGAACTGCGGTGCCTTGAATAAACACATCAGTCTAGAAGGGAAAATAGGCTTGATTCAGTAAGTGACAACTGGAGAGTGGAAGCAAGGTAAGATGAGTTTCAATTGTTGAGACCTGTGGATGTGGACAGGGTGCTTGGATCTGTCCGTTCTACCACAACTCCGCTCGACCCTTGCCCATCCTTGCTAATTAGAAGATCAGCCAGGGGGGTTCGCACCTGGGTCCAGGAGGCCATGAACGCCTCTTTGAGAGAGGGAGTGGTTCCTACCGCCTTGAAAGAGGCGGTAATTTGACCACTCCTTAAAAAGCCAAACCTGGACCCAAGGCTGGTGGCTAACTACCGACCAGTAGCGAACCTCCCTTATTTGGGCAAAGTGTTGGAGCGGGTTGTGGCTGGGCAACTCCAGGCGCTGCTGGATGAAATGGATTTTCTGGATCCATTTCAATCGGGTTTCAGGCCGG